CTTCATTAAAACAAGATTTAATAGTTGTATGCATATTTTACAGCACAGACATGCTTTTGCATTCTTAAAACACTAAGACATTTATGCATCAGGAAAGCATGAACTTAGGCATAATTTCAACAGGCACCCCCATATTCAGGATAAATTTTGTCTGGTTTATTTTAGATAAGCCGAAGTCCCCACATTGTACTCGTCTCATCGTCAAACAGCGCAGCATTCCAAAAAGGACAAGCCAGTCTGAGGCCAAGGTAAGACACAGCAAGCATGTTTACATTTAAGCGTCTTATCACTCATTTATTTTTGTATATTTATAAAAACGCATGACATTGTCATGTGACAAAGTCGTGTATGAGTAAATTGGCCTTATGTCTGAGAATTTCTTGAAATCGGCATTTCTTGAAATCTATCATCAGCTTCCCTCATTGTTTTGCAAACCATAGGATCTTAATCTGCTCCAACGGAAGTAAAATGCCAGATTTTAATTACAGCTACTACTGACATTTGTATGAGAGAAGGTCAGAAATTGACTATAATTATATTATTTGTGGCCATTAGATCTAATGTGGCTTTACTCATCCATCCTCGTCTTTCTCCAGGTTTCACTCACATCAACCAGGCACTCGTATCAATGGTAATGCCCTCATCACCGGCCCTCAACAGCCGTTGACAGGCCAGGGGGAGGGAAGTAGACGCACCCAGTCCCTGCTGACCCCCACCGCAAAAACACCCTCTGTCAAGATGATCGAGCTGACCAGACCAGATGCTGTGCCAAAGACACCAGGTATACTAATGAAACTTGTGAAACTTGTTGTGTGAATCACTCATTAGGGGCTGCAATAAACAATGCTTGTGGACTGGGGCCAATTTCATAGAGCTGCTTAAGCACAAAATTTGCTTAAGCACAAAAACGTCTTGCTTAATAAAATCAGGTTACCGACCAAAACTCCATGCGATTGTTATGCTAAGTAAACAACAGCTAAATACCAGTCACGAGCAATGTACATCACATGGAGTTTTGGCCGGTAACCTAATTTTACTAAGCAATGTTTTTTCGTGCTTAAGCAAATTTTCTGCTTAAGCAGCTCTATGAAATTGGGCCTTGGTATCAGGCAAAGAAGGCAGAACTAAACTTCATCTAAATATGCACCAAGAGGCCAACAGCAGCCATGAGGTTTACGCTTGTATCATAACCTTCTTTGTCAATGTTGAGACAGTTGTGTGCATTAAGTTATAAAGTCTTCATGACTCAATATGGCCCATCAGGCAATCATTTACCTCCAGTTTCAGAGGCATGAAATGACTGAGAATACTTCTTTTCCTCCCTTGCTTGATGGGATCATGCCAGTGCATTGCAGGGAACTGCCAAGCTAATGTCAGTACAATTTTAACTGCTGGGTGGAGAGCGGCAAGTCAGGGTGAAGTGGTTTTTGCCCGAGGATACAGCATATGGCCAGCAGCTGGATTCGAACCCCTTACCCTCTTATGAGTCATGAACCACTAACAACGAGGCCACACTCCCTAAAGTTTTCAAATTATGTTTCTAATGTAAACTCAGAAATCAGATCACAAGACATTATTGTATGGGGTGTTAATTAACCTGAGAATATATTGTACCTGCGAACAATTTCCAATCCAGTTTTTATTCTTCTTTTCAGCCTTTCCAGACAACCGGAACAACAGTGCCCACAATTCCACTCATAGTGCGGATGGTGTCAGCCCGTCTGCCCGAACGCCAAACAATGACGCTGTGTTTTTGCCAAGTGATATGAGCCTGTGGACGGTAGATGATGTAGCGCAGTTCATACAGTCGCTAAAAGGTTGCGAAGAGTACGTTCAGGTGAGTGCCCAGACCAGAGGTGGATCCATGTGGCGGAAAAGTGGGGGGGGGGGGGGGGCTGCGGGCAGTACAAGCAGTTCAGAACAGTGATATAAAGAGAAGAGACCGACCCCCCCACAAAAAAAAAATGTGGTCGTCCACTTGGAATTATTTAAGTTGTGTTGCTTTATCAAAATCCTACGAGGGACGTGCCCAATTGCCCTTTTATATCTGGAAGGCAAAAGCAAGGCAAAATTTGAACTGTGAAAATTTACTTCTGTGTGAATCTGTGCAGACTACATGCAGTGTCTTTTAGTTGACTTGTGATTTGGCTTGGCATTTAGTATGTGATGCTTGGTGTGCACAAGCAAATTTCATCTTAATGAGCAAGTCTTTAGTGTCCTCATGAGAAGGTACCCGTGCAAGATGGCAAAACACGCGTCTTTCGTGCCTTGATCTCTCTCTTTTACACCATGGAGGATAGAACTTATGCAGAGTCCATACCAAGTCCTCAGGAGGATTCCATTCTGTTCAATCCTCAATGTAGTATCCATGCCACATGACAATACTTAAATTAAATGAACAAGTTCAAGCAAGAACTCTAATTAACCATAGTTCAACCAACTTCATACAAATCATACTAGCTGATAAAGTCGGACAAGTCTAGTCGACTGTTCAGGATCAGCCTACTGATGAGGTCAGTGGCATTGTTGGTTTCCAACAGCCGCACATTAGGGCAGGACCGACATATGCATGTATGACGTACCACTAGAGAAGTTCACACTTTTCTATTAGGCACAATTCACATCACAAATCCAACATTTTCTACAAGTATAGTCCTCGATTTGAATTTATCCACACATGCCAGTGCTTTCCTTGTTAACCCATTTATTATACAGTCATCTTAAACTCTCTTTCCCTCTGTGTCCCACTGTCCCTCATCCTCAACAGGTCTTCCGAGACCAGGCCATCGATGGCGAGATCCTTCCAGTCTTGACCGAAGATCACCTGCTGCAGAACATGGGTCTCAAGCTGGGGCCGGCCCTCAAGATCCGCCTGAGAGTGGCCCGGCGACTGGGCTTCACGTTGGACGGCCAGTACTGCCAGCTTAAGCCGCCATACGAGGAACCGCCAACGCACTGACAGATTTTATTTAAGGGGACAATAGTGTGATCAAGCATTTTAACTGTGTGGTTTGAGGCCGGTTAGGAGCCTGGGGCTAATTATTAAAGTAAACAACAACTAAATACCAGTCACAAGCAATGTACATCGCATGGAGTTTAGACAAGTAACCTGATTATATTAAGCAAGGGTTTTTTGTGCTTAAGCAAATTTTGTGCTTAAGCAGCTCTATGAAATTGGCCTCAGGTCACCTCTGAACCATGGTGAAGGCCTTTTTTGGCAACCAGGCCTCTGACCAGTTTTTAAACATCTCGGGTTTTTTCCTGCTCAATCACAATATAATCCCCATTCATTAATACCTTTTTGGCCTAAAAAACGTAGTAAAGAAGCTTAAAGAATGACAGAACTTCCAACAATTTTGTTCTTCCTTTTTGTGTTATATTGCTATCCATTTTGGGGCTGTTTCTGTTGTGTGAGCAACAAGTGATGTCTGTTTTTTGTTAACATGTAAGTTGTGTATAATGTTAATATGTAAATAAATGTAAATTAAATGTACAGAATGGTGCTATGAGAACTGGTGCTGGTTCTTACCAGTGAGGAATGGATACCGGTGACACATATGGTACAGGACTAATTGTTACCGCACAACTAATACCACTATTAACAAAGTGACAGCAGCAATATATATATAGAAATGCAATTTTGGAATATGCAATTATCTAAAACAGTATTACCTTAACTTGAACACTAGTGCCTCAGTTTTATTTCACCTTTGCAAGAAGTAAACTTTTCTACTGTGAAAAAACACCCGGATAGATTTTCAAACCTCATATTGATAAGCAGTTAAAAGTTGTTTGTTTTTGTTTACCTTGCTTGAACCTACTTGATATTAAAAAAAAATTCCATGAACTTGTAAATATGTTAATACCGTTAATCCTTTCTCTTTTTTTAAAATACTTTGATAGTGTTAAGGATGTGCAATTTGCCAATTATAACAATTTTTTACCGTGACTTCTTTAGTACCTCGTAATATTCACGTTTCATGTTGGTTGTTAAAACATATAATATGCCTTTGTTAACCAATTTGATCTTTTGAAAAGTTGTACTTATCTAAAGTTATTATTGATATGTCCCCCCCCCCACCAGTTTAGTTATTGATGCTTCTTTAGAGTTTTATTGTTTTGTAAACTTTCAACATATTCTGTAATTTTGTATGTAAAAACATTCTTATATTATAAGTCTTATTTAATTTGTATCTTATTTGCATCAAAAGAACCAAAAGCCATATATTTCTGTTTTCCGTTCCAACTTGTTTTCCCTAAAAATGAAATCCTCGAAATAAATTGGCTTAACCTTTCTAATGATCCCCCCCCCAAAAAAAAATGCTTCGAACTGTGCCTGGTCTACATTAAAGGGCACATGGTGTACATATATATTTGGATGGACATGGTATATTTGGATGGACATGTGAAAACTTGTTTAGTGCCTTTCAATTTGTCCCTGTCAAAGTTGATGATAAACTAGTCCTTTCAGTAACAAAAATATAAATCAACTTTTTAGAGACTTTGAATATTTTGAATACATTGCACGCTTCAAACTTTATGGACCAACAACAGGAATAAAATAGCACAATTATAATTTTTCAATACCTGCTTTTAAAAGGTGTCATTATTATTGTTCCCTAAATCAACCCCCCCCCCCCAGCAAATGTTTTAAGTAAGCTATATTACAACTTCTTGTTAAAGTCAGACCTGCCCGTTTAGTTGTTTTTAACACACACGTTTAATTATTTTGGGGTGTGTGGATACAGGTATGTTCATTTTTCTCAAATTGTTACAGTCTTGTAATGGAGTAGAAATGTATCATCAACCTGTCCCTACTAGTCCAGGCATGCGCAGAGTGTTTCCCCCTAAAAATAAACTCAACATTTGTTCCATTTATTTTCCATTTGTGAGCATCTTGCCCCCCCCCCCCCGCCTACGCCCCGCCCCTGCTGAGCCGTCAAGTTCAAGTGAAAAAATAATGTCAGAAGGGGGCGCGCTTCTAGAAAACAAAGACAATTGAGGGCGCTGTTAACATTTCATGCATCTCGCTAACTCGTGCATTGTGACAGGGCTAAAATAACATTTCTTCGAACTAAATTTCTTACAACTAAAGTACTTTCACGATGTCGGGCCAAGACTGGGACAAAGCTATAGAAGAACAGGAAAAAGGAGAGTTGGCTAGTAAAGTGAGTTACCCAGTAATGGTCAATTTTTGGTGAAATGTTCGGCGGAAACTTTTTCGATCAAGTCGATTGCACGGAAACAGGTCAACTCGTACGCGAACCAACTCGTACGTGAGTCAACTCGTACGCGGATTGGTCAACTCGTACGCGAGTCAACTCGTACGCGAACCAACTCGTACGCGTTCCAACTCGTACGCGAGCCAACTCGTACGCGAACCAACTCGTACGCGAACCAACTCGTACGCGGGCGGTTTTAGGAGTGGTTTCGAGGATTGGGTTGGCATGGTTGGGAAGAATTTGGGAATAGTGTGACGGGTAGTCCGTAGTTCAATGTGTGACCGTTGTGTGTGATTGGGAGTGAACCCGTGAATGATGATAATAAAGTAACTGATTTTTGTAGTTAGACGAGTGTTGTATCGTTTTGTGCATACCTGTAGCCTTGTCACGTCAAATTTAATTCCATATATTAATGCAACGATGTACCAGTTGCATTTTTCGTGTTTTTTTAATCAATGTACCTTTCAGTCAATTAATTGTCACCATTGTCAAACTGAAAAAAAATTGCCCAAGAAAAAAAATTATTTTCAGGGCACCCTCGAATTTCCGGTGAAATTAAATAAAATTCTAATTTTTAAAAATCAATGAAATTCACCTCCCCATTGTTTTAATTTACAAAATATAATTTGGATACATAATAATTAGGACTAAAAAATTATCGGACCCAAGCAAAAAATTAATTTTTTGACCCAAGAAAATCGCATTTGACCCAAGAAACCTCGCATTTCCGGTGAAATTATATAAAATTCTGATTTTAACAAAAAATAAAAAGCAACTCCCCATTTTTTCTTTTTTTTACAAAATATTATTTGGATATATAATAATTAGGACTAAAAAACTATCTGACCCAAGCAAAAAACTGGCGGACACCTGTATAAGCATGCGTGATGCTATATTCCTTTTTTTAAATTTTTTATAGTAGCTCCTTTTTATACAATAGACCTCGCAAATATCGGTGTTTTCTTGTCATTTTACTTGTCTAACCAACCAGCAATTGTACCGCGGCATACACAGGTTACAGCAGTGCGCGGTGCGGCGGGAACCAATCATACTGGTTATCGCGAAGACAACTTCCCAATCAATCAAGCGAACTTGTAAAAAAAAAAACAACGCAGAATTCTTCTCTAAAAAATCGCGAATGTAAGTAGCACTGGCGGATTCAAAAATCAACTACATTTAATTTGAAAATCTCAACCTTTCAGAAAAGGTACAATTATGCCGACCTACCGTACCGAACCTAATTTCATCTGTCCATGTGAGCTAAACCAATCGTCTAAACTCACGCGTACGAGTTGGTCCGCGTACGAGTCGGTCCGCGTACGAGTCGGTCCGCGTACGAGTCGGTCCGCGTACGAGTCGGTCCGCGTACGAGTCGGTTCGCGTACGAATTGACCCGCGTACGAGTTGGTCGCGTACGAGTTGGTTCGCGTACGAGTTGACCTGTATTCGATTGCACTTGTTTTGCAGATTGAGTTTGGTTCGTGATTGACAGAGATAGGCCTAGGCCCTAGGCCCTAGGCCATGTAGCCTTGTAGGCTAATGAGATATCGGTTATGTCGGTAAACCGTAATCCTTACTTTTAGGACACCTCTATTTGTACGAGTTCTGTTCAAAACTGACTTTTGCAGATGACTGTCCAGTACCAAAGTGACTTCTGCAGGCTAAAGAAGTCTTTTTTTCTTCAGATAAACTCATGACCATGTTGGTTGTAATTTTGAAAGCTCTTTAAAAAAAAATGTGACTTTCCTACCTTTTTTTGCAGTTCGCCATCTTGCTTTTTAATATATTTTCTGTTTGTCATCGTCGTCTTTAACCCCTCATAAATCAAAGCCCTGCCCTCTTTCTACAAAATTAAACCTGATATTCAAGTAGTCCGAGTAACTTGGACCTAACTTATCGCCTTTTTTAACATTTGGACATGGTCTGGCGATAGTAAGGTCCAAGCTAATACCGAGACCTAGACAACACAGTCACTGACAGTCCCAAAAACCAACATTTTCCAACAAAAAACATCAGATTTCACCTTCAAAACGGCCTCCAAATTACTAGATATGTCACCTGAGGTACAAGTAGACATAGTCTATAGATGATTAAGATGGTTGTACTTAAGTTTACTTACGATCCGGAAAAAAAGTGAAATTTTCCGTTCAATTCTGAAGACCCCCTCTGCCTAGGTTGTCGTTGTTGTGCTCACGTTCAAAACTGCACGATAATGGCGTCTGACCTCGACCTCATGCAAAGGTCGTGACGGCGCACTTGCGCACAATGCACTGCATGCACGGCAGATTCCCCTGCGCCGCGCCGACGACTGTTTCCTGATGAAGAGTGCGACTCCTAGGCGTACCGCGAACTTACACAGCACTCTTCATCAGGAAACAGTCGTCGGCGCGGCGCAGGGGAATCTGCCGTGCATGCAGTGCATTGTGCGCAAGCGCGCCGTCACGACCTTTGCATGAGGTCGAGGTCAGACGCCATTATCATGCAGTTTTGAACGTGAGCACAACAACGACAACCTAGCCAGAGGGGGTCTTCAGAATTGAACGGAAAATTTCACTTTTTTTCCAGATCGTAAGTAAACTTAAGTACAACCATCTTAATCATCTATGTCTACTTGTACCTCAGGTGACATATCTAGTAATTTGGAGGCCGTTTTGAAGGTGAAATCTGATGTTTTTTGTTGGAAAATGTTGGTTTTTGGGACTGTCAGTGACTGTGTTGTCTAGGTCTCGGTATTAGCTTGGACCTTACTATCGCCAGACCATGTCCAAATGTTAAAAAAGGCGATAAGTTAGGTCCAAGTTACTCGGACTAATATTCAAGAAGGTGTCATTGCCAAATGTTCAGATGCATGTGCCAAGAAATATCAGAGTGTCACTTTTGAGTGTCATTTAGTCAACTGTTTTGGTGAGTCTTTTAACCCTATATTGTAGGAAAGGGGTCCTAAAGGTAAGGATTACCGAGATATCGATATCAAATTGTCAAATATGCGGTCATGCATTGTCCTCTGTTCAATGACAAATTGACAGACAATTTCGGGATTGTTCAGCTGACACAGTGGAGTGTCATGGCCTAGCGGTTAAGAACACCGGACTCATGCACGATCCCGATGGTGCAGAAAAAATGATGAAAACGATCTTGTATCCGTACCCAAGCTACAGTTTGGGTTTTAACGTTTTAACGTGCATGCGAAGCGTTGTTGGCGTGACGTCAGAGTCTTTTGGTCTGGGAACCGACCACAGACACGATATGTATGGTGCATATCGCAGGCGGCGTCAGACGGGCCAAACACGAGGCCTTGTGTTTGTAGGATGCCCTCTTGTGTGTGCTCCTGGATGCATGTAGGAGGATTTTAACGAAAGTTTTGAAATCAGGATTATAGTAATAGTAGAGGAAAGATTTCCATACATATACGAAGTTCACTCAACACCCTGTGTACAAACCCTATGAGATTGGACTGAAAAATTCTAAGGGTTTTCTAAGAAAATGCTTGTATTTTCTCACTGCTCAAATTGACTTTGATGACATGCAATTGCTATTTAGGGGCTTGTTATAGTCAATACAGAGGAAAATTAGTGAACTTCGTATATGGAAATCTTTCCAATAGTAGATCCTGATGCTGAAATACTTTTTTAGACCTTTTTTTTTTTTTCAAGACTTAATTCCCCAGAAAAGTCACATAATCAGCCCTAGCAGCTTTTCCACGGGAAAAAAATAATGTGATCATTTACTTTATTAACTTTTTGCTCAATTAGGTGGGAAACCTCAGACTTAATCCTGCGGAGAAGCAACATGCGGCAGGTGACAAGACGGCAGCTCCAACTCAAAATACAGGTTCGGTCTCTGTGGGGTAGACACATAAGGCCATGTTTAGCGTCCCCGCCCGTTTCTTTTTGGATGCCGCCTCCTTATGTTTTTTCTCTTTTTTTTAAATGAAAAAAAGATGATAAATTTTAAACAGTGACATCATTTTGGCCTCTTTGTCAGTTGCATCTAGCCCATATAAAGCTGGTATGTCATTTCCTGAGGCCAAGTGGCCGCCATTTTAAAAAAAAAAGCTGGCGGCGCCGGCCTTCTTAAAAAAAATAGCCGGGTCGGGTGGCCATTTTGGAGGGGAAAAAAAAAAAGACCTCCTCCTTCCTTTTTTTCAAAAAGGCAGGATGCTAAATATGTTTTTTTTTACTTGGCCTAAACAGAAAGAGCTGCTTTTCAGTAGCTTATGTATTTTTCCTATCCTAATCTCCCTTTATATCTTTGGCCAATTTCATGGCATTTTTGAACTGCCCTTAAACTTGCCAGACGCAACACAGTGCATCAGGTGAAAAAGTGTGGTACACTTTGATGCATTCAGATATCAACACCAGTGCATAAATAGCCAGTACTGAAACAATGAGAGCTACATGTAAGTCCCATTGAACAATGCCACATTTGTATCCTGCTGCATTCAGAGACCAGGGACTCTGATGCAGTTTTGCCTTGGAACTGTTGACCTGATGGATCTTGCTGCACTGGGCAGGCTTGTCACTTAGACAAGTGTTGCATGTTGCTGTGTTATGTGGTTTGGCAGGGTTTCTAGCCAAATAGCCTGGACGGTTCTGGTTAATCTTTGTGGTAAACTGTGTGTGAGCCTCAATAGACCGCTTGCAGACGCGTTCGATAATCGACGCGCGAAGACGCGCGACGCCATGTTGTGGGACAAGCGCATATCTATACATGCACATTTTGTCCCACAACATGGCGTCGCGCACCTTCGCGCGTCAATTATCGAACGCGTCTGCAAGCGGTCTATCGGCCCTTTCTCTCGAAAGAGCTCTATTGCAATATAAGCCCATTCTTCCAGTAGACATGGTAAAAGATTTTATAACACCTCACCCACAGATTCTGTGTCTTGATTGGCCGAGAGCGAGTCACACGTTACTTTCTAATTTTGCTATCTTTCTGTGCACGGCCAAAAGTACTATGCGCATAGCAACCAAAGTACTATACCATTAGCAACCAAAGTACTATTTCCACGGCGCGGTATTTGTGTGCAAATGCATGCTGGTGTGCGCATTGTGCGTAGCGCGTATTATTCCAAAGAGAGCGCGCCGCAGACTTGGGTTCAAACATTTCGTGAAGGGTTAGTTTTTAAGAGAGAAATACATTTTCCACCAATTTTGTATTGAAATTGAAGTTTAGGGCCTATTTCAACTGTGTTCAGATTTTAATAATTTAAAATATTAAAATCAAGCAGAATCTGTGGTTGAAGTGTTATAAAACAAATATTGAATGCTTTATCTCGTGGTGAAGTAAAACTAGCCTCCCTCGGGAAAATAGAATGTCCATGGATCACCTCGGGGGGCTAGTTTTACTACACCACTCGAAGCATTCAATATTTGTATATTATGCACCTGGAGATTTCCCTTTGTTCATTGTTACAGGCAAGGTGATTTACATGTAGGATGGTAGACCTACAGAACAAAGATGTTTCCACTAGTATCCTGCGTATTGATGTAATTTGAAAGGATGTAATTTTTAAAAGTTGAACAAGGAAATAAGCCGTTTGCCAGTAACCTATACCCTTTGGGATGTACATTTGAAAAAAATCCGGTACACTGACTTGCTCAGAATGCTTGGCTTATTTTAAGTTTAAATTCTCCAGACCAAAGACACTGTTGCTAATCACATGATTCGGGCAAGCTCTTGCATAGTTACGCAAGAGACGGTCAGCACCAATACATTGTTCACAATGGGTGAGAATGGCACTAAGACACCGAACCATGTCAGAGCTGGGGGTTGCTACATGTAGCTTATGGCTTGCCCAGAATCACGTGATATACCGGTAGTAACAGTCTCTTTGGTCGGGAGAATGCAAATTTAAAAACTTGCAAAGCATTGGATTAGGTCAGTGTTCCAGATTTTATTCAAATTAACTCGCAAATGGCTTATTAACTGGAGGGGAGTACTTGTATGGATCAGTAACCTCCAGATTGCCTTTCCAGCGCTCTACCAACTGAGCTATCCAGCCCTAAGTTGGCAGTTCACCATTTTTTGTAATAACATAAATGAAATTTTGTCTTCAGGTGACACTAACAACAAGGAAGAAAGTGAAGAAGATGGTAAGAATCAACAAGATTTTAAAAAAAAATTGTTGTACAGTTCACCTCAAACACAATTATATTTGGGTTCACCCTCGTCATTCTGAACTTTTTCTGAAATTTTAAATTTCTTAAAATTGCTGATGTCTCCCAGAACAACTTTATCAGAATTTTGTTTTGTCATGGTTGTTATTGACGATCTCTAAGAGAGCATTGTCTCCCGAAATGTGTTGCTGTACATGAATGCATGCATACAGTTTGTACGTGAGCATAGAAAAATACGGAACTTTGCTTAACTTGAACTTTGGATATCTCAGATATTTTGTCCATTCCCTTGAGGTTTGACTTATTGAGATTACACTGTATTCATTTTCTCAGCTTTCTCTTTATCATTTCAAAAATGCACTGAGATCTTGATAAAAGACAAAATTATCAGGAGGTTGTAAAAGTTTCTGGGGTTGTACCTTCTTAATAGTCGCCAAGGCAGTGGCGGATGCCTCACTGCTGAACAAAGCCCTACATAACAAGCTACTAGACATCTCGGAGACACAGCTGGAGGTCCAGCAGAAGGACCCTAACTCCCCTCTCTACTCTGTCAAATCCTTCGAAGAGCTTCACTTGTAAGTATAAACTGTTATCATCTGTCTCAACCGCCCTCCTCCACCAGAGACTAGGCAAGCCTGATAAAGCTGGTCTAGGACCAGCTTGGTCTGAGGGGTCTAGGTAGACAACCATGTAGTCATCTTGGGCTAAGCTGGGGCTTAACCCTAACAACCCTGAGCCCATCAAGCTCCAACAGCGGGTTTTGCTTGATTTTGGCAGGGTTGGTACCGAACACTGGCCAGCTGGTGTTGGACTTTGATTGACTGGGTACCAAAGGCCCAGGGAGACCCTGTTGAATTTTGTGAGGTTCGGGGCAGAAGGGCATGAGATTTGTGAACACGTTGGAGTTCGAGGGAGTTCACTGGCATTTCTTCGTGGGTATGCTCACCCATGGTCCTCAGCACAGTTTGTGGTCAAATGTGCATGTACATATTGCTTTATTTTGTTAGGTTTGGTACCATCCCTATCCAATCACTCGACAATGCATAGGCCCATCCATACCAAGTCAATCATACTCCAACAGTTGGAGTTTTGCAGGTTTAGTACTGTTCCCCGTACAAGGCCTGTTGGAGTTTGGCAGTTTTGGTACCAGTGCTTACAGACCTGTATGCAGCTGTTGAAATTTGTTAGGTTTGGTATACTTTCTAGTGCAAGAGCCTAGGGGGGTAGGGTTAAGCAAGTGAAAGTCACTAGGGCTGTGCATAGGAACCGGGTACCCGAGTACCCGACCGTTAATGTCAGTTCTAGATTATAGGATCGGGTACCTATAACCAACTTAACAAATTACTTAGTTAATTCTTCTCAGACGATGAAAAAGAAGGGTTTCCAAGTCATTTGTGGGGAATTTCCAAAATGAAAACCAGGCCACATGGGAAAAAAAAACATATTTCACATTTTAAGACACTGGCGAAAGCTGCAGTTAACAGCGTAAAGTTACAAAGCTCACTGTACTTGTATCTTGCTATATTGATGCGCTGATGCGGTAGTATTATCTGCGGACCTTTGTAAACAATCTCAACAGCAACTTCGGAGATTTGAATTTTGGCATGTTTGGCATTGGGTTTCTTTAACGGGTACCCAGGTACCCGTGGGTTTTTTTCAGTCGGGTACCCAGTTCCTGTACTACCCCTAAATGCACACCCCTAAAAATCACAAGTCAGTCTGTCAGTGAGAACTTAGCAAAAACCAATGTGCAACTCGTATTCAAGAGCACTTTTGACCGCTAATGCTAGTGGTTGACAAATAAACGAGAAGTATCTTCTTGCAAACAAATCAAATACTAATATTATTAGTATTTTAAATCAAATTAGGTTTTGCCCTTCACCGACGTATAAACACTGTATACTCAGTGTGTTACCTCCCGAGTGAAAGTTGGAAATAAATTCACTCTGGTGGGACTCGAACCCACGACCTCCTGGTTTCTAGTGCAGACGTCTTACCACTCGACCACACACTAACGCACTGAGCATACAGTGTTTATACGTCGGTGATGAAGGGCAAAACCTAATTTGATTTACATCACCCCGACGCAAAATTCCATCTTATGAATATTAGTATTTTACTGGTGATAATTGGATGTTTCTTGTTCCTCTCTTTGTCTTTCAGAAAGCCTGATTTGTTGAAAGGTGTTTACGAGATGGGCTTCAACGCTCCGTCAAAGATCCAAGAAACGGCACTCCCACTTCTCCTTGCAGACCCGTGAGTTTTGACAAAGATGAATGTTTATAACGCACAAATACTTAAAGGGAATATACAACATTTGCAAACATCGAAAAATAAAACTACCAAGTTTATACGAAATACCTTACTAGGATGTTGGTAAATGAAAGTCTAAAGCATCCTGTAAAATTATGGCACCTGGTGTGAAGTCATTTTCAAGAAAATGGTATATTTGTATACATTTCCAACGGTGGTCGGCCGACCACCGTTGGAAAAACCTAACTATTTTTCAACTACTGCTCCAACTTTACACTTTCTTCAGTCCAAATTTTGTTTGCTATTGGTTACATGTTCATGAACGGGTGCAGGCCAGCCAGACTGGTTCCCTTACCTTACAATTTTTCGGCATCTATAAATTGATCCATTTTATCTTAAGTGGAGTCAAGGAACCAGACTACTCGAACACTTTTGTTTTTCTTGGTTTTTCCAGCATTTTCGAACACAAAACTTCAAACTTGTCAGTGTAACAATATTTGATCTATTATACTAACCCCTCAAATAGTTCATTTCTGAAAATTACAGCAAAAGCCAATGATGTACATTCCCTTTAACAGCGTGTCTCAAAAAATCAGTATACCCATCTTTAAAAGTAAATTATCAGAAACGTACTAAATATTTCAGAAAGGGGCAACTACAAGGAGAAAATCCAGGATGTCTTCTTTCCAATGATACTAAGTTCATTATGTCATTGTCATGGATAGCTGAGCAAAGAGGTCAAAATCAACACTATGACAAGTTAGTAGTTTTAGTACACAATGGAAAAGTGGTGGAAGGGACGACAATTGGGTGCTTCTTTGAATGCAGGGAATGCATTTCTGATTTTTGTGGTAATTACAGGATAAATGTATCGTCCTGTGCCCTCAATATGTCTGTGGGGTGCTGTGGTCCAATGGTTACGGTGTTCGACTCGTGTGCCGTGGTACATGGGTTCGAATCCTGACCGTGGGAAAATGCTGCTGGTGCTCTTGAGCAAGGCACTTTATCACTATTGCTTCGTCCTGCATAAAGCCGTAGGTCCAGTGTGTTGTATAGTGCACGTTAAAGAATCCAGTAACACTTGTCGCTATTTAAAGAGAAGGGGTTCGCCCCGGTGTTTCTGGCAGTGGCCGCAGCACCTTGTTAACCCTCATAAGGTGCTACATAATGGGTCTCGTATCTCTCATGTACTTCATTCATCTATTAACCCTAACCCACCTCACTCCTCCAAAATCCTCCTGGCGGTTTTGGAGGATTCTAGAGGATTGAGGATGAATGGTGATTGAATCAAATGAGGATTCTGGAGGATTGAGGATGAATGGTGATTGAAGCACATGAGGATTTTGGAGGATTGAGGATGAATGCATTTTGAGGCAGGACTGTCTGATGATTTTGAAGGATTTGGCGTTGGTTATCCTTCATTTAAACACGAGTGCAAAGTTTTGGGATGAGGAGGATTTTGGAGGATTGAGGATGAATGCATTTTGAGGCAGGACTGTCTGACAATTTTGAAAAATTTAGGTGGAGTTGCAAAATTTTGGAGGATTGAGGATGGTTGTAAGCAACAAGGGCCTAGGGGGTTAGGGTTAATAGACATAACTTCCAGTGCCTTGAGTACATGTACCTATACTCTGTTTCGCTAATGCCTGAATAGGTTTCTGCAACATAGCCATACAGATACAGACCACCATTTCTGTTAATTCACAGCTCACAGCGTCGCCTCATGTCTCTTAAAGCATGTCTTACCAATTATCACAAACTGTCCATGTGGGCTTGGATTATTCCAAAGAAGTGCACAGCAAACTTCATTGTTCCACGGACAAGTATCTTTTTACCAAGGCACCAAAGTTCAGGGCTATCGCATAATAATAGTTCCTATCTTTGTGTACTAGCAGACCAAAGAACATGATCGCCCAATCACAGAGCGGGACAGGCAAGACGGCCGCGTTTGTTCTCACCATGCTGAGCAGGGTCAACACAAATAACAACTGGCCACAGGTATGATTACATACATGCATATTCATGAACAAATTGGACAAATGCATTGATTCCCATGGCATCAAGTAAAAAAAAAAGGATAATTAAGCCATTATCTTTGTCAAAATACAGTTAAAATTAAAAAAAACAACTATGGGAATTGAAGATTGCTCGAAGATGCAGAAATCATTTTGGAGCAATACAAAGTGCTTCAGAACTGAAGAACTAGAGCGGTCATAACAAGTACACTATTACCAGCAGTTCTTTGATATTTAATTTATTTTTTTTTGCTCTGTAGGCAATCTGCCTTGCACCGACGCTGGAGCTGGCTATGCAGATTGGCGCTGTCGTCGAACAGATGGGCAAGAACATGAAAGAACTGAAGGTCATCTATGCTGTCAGGGGGAACAAACGTAAGACTTACAACACCGCCCCCCCCCTTCCTCCAAGATTGGTCCTATAAATTTACAACAAAAGCTAGGGATGCCATATTTCTGGCTATAACTGGGACTCCAGCTTGTTCATGGTTTGGAAACAAAAACTCAGGTGTTCCATCCCTTCACAGGCCAGAGTAAAACGGAGAAAAGAAGAAAAACAATACAAGGAGAAAGAAAAATAACACAAACCTGTGTATTATAATCATAAAAGAAAAGCAGCTACATGCCATCATTCAGCAGTGAAGAAATCCTTTGCATGTTGATTGATCGTCGGTCATAAGCCAGTAAGAAAATTGGTTAAATACTACATGTTGACAGCGTGTTAGACTTGTACAGAGTGCGCTCGACAGGCATGCAACTTTTTCTGGGATCGGCTGATTTCCTTGATGTTTACTTCACTTTTATGCCATCAAAAAATCAAAAACACTATGTAAATTCTTGTAAAATGTTGTGCCCCCCTCCCCATCATCATATAATGCCCCGCCCCTTTTTTTCTCAAAAAGTGATCCCATTGCGGATGCCTTACACCAATCTTTCAAATTAAAAATGGGATAACGGTTTGATTAAAATCTGGGAAAAAGAATTACAAGTAAAGGGCAAAACCATTATTGGCAAATGCTGAATCGATTGACAGACATGAGACTGCATGTCCTGCGTCCACGTGAAACTTGGAATAGTGGTCAACTACAACACTGGGTGATTGTAGGACTGAAACGCAGCCTAAAACCCACCTGCCCATATTTGACCTGTTGAACTCTGACCCACAGTTCCCAGGGGTTCAAAGATCGAGCATCACATCGTCATCGGTACACCGGGGACCATGCTAGACTGGTGTATCAAGCTTCGTTTCATCGACATGAACAGGATCACAGTGTTTGTTCTGGACGAGGCCGACGTCATGATTGCCACGCAGGGGCACCAGGACCAGTCCATTCGTATCCAGAGGTAAACGTTCAACCCATTTCTGTGAAGATTTCAGGGAAGTTGTTCAGAATCCTGCAACTTATACCCGATACAGTGGGCGCTGGGGGGGCTGGAACATTTCATGGGGGGGCGTCAAGCAGGGGCGTCAATCACTTCTCAAAAGTGGGGGGGGGACATACCTTGATCATAACTGATGGAAGCGCGAAGCCCTTACGGCGTGGGGTTCGGGGCCCGCTTAAGGGCCCCGAAAAAAATTGGATTCTAAATGTTCTGTGGTGTGATTTGAAGCAATTTCTTACAACTTTCCTCCATGCTTTAACTTATATTTTCTTGGCAAAAGATAATTATTTGAACATCATTTTCGAGGTTGGAGATATTGAATCAGCTATCAGTATTCTGAACTATTGGCATGGGGTTTGGGGCCCGCTTAAGGGCCCCGAAAAAAATTGGATTTTCGATGCTCTGTGGTGTGATCTGAGGCAATTTCTTACCACTTTAACCAATAATTATCTTAGCACAAAGATAATAATTTAAACATAATTTTCGAGGTTTTCTCAGCTAAAGGCATAAGAAAATTTTGTGAACATTGTTCTTGAGGTTGGACTCATTGAATCAGCTACCAGAATTCTGAGCTATAGGCGTGGGGTTCGGGGCCCGCTTAAGGGCCCCGAAAAATTTTGGATTCTAAATGCTCTGTGGTGCTATCTGAGACAATGTCTGACTACTTTAACCAATATTTTCTAAGCAAAAGATACATTGTAGTACATAATAGGGCCAATGGCGTCATGTAGATCAATGATAATTTTTTTAGAAACTCAAAATCTCAGTGGGGGGGGGGGGGGGGGGGGGGGCGACTGGGGGGGCGACAAGGTTTCATGGGGGGGCGGTCGCCCCCCCCAAAAAACACACAACGTGTATATCGTACACTGAGAACGACACGAAAAACGTATTCGTGATCCGTCGTGTCCGATGTAAACAAGCAGGGTTTTTTTCGTCTTTTCTCGGGAACGGTAAGACATTAGGTTGGTTTCCTTTTAACCAGATGTTTGAAATAGGCTAAGTAAACAATCCAAAACATGACATTTTCGAGGATTTCAGGACCTTGTGCCCCTTTAAAAACAACATGAAAAATCATGTTACTTTTGGTGGAAGGTGAAAGGGTAGTGAGAGAAAGCCCCCCCCCCCCCCCCCGATGTATGCCATCGACACGGTGTCTACACAAGTTCAGTCCCTTTCCTTTCTCTATCCAGGAAGCTTCCCAACACCTGCCAGATGATGCTGTTCTCGGCCACCTACGAGGACTCGGTCATGCAGTTTGCCAACAAGATCGTGTCGGACCCGGTGGTCATCCGCCTGCGTCGCGAAGAGGAGAGCCTGGCCAACATCAAGCAGTTCTACGTGCTGTGCAGCAACGAGAAGGAGAAATACGAGGCTTTGTCTAACATCTACGGCGCTATCACCATCGGCCAAGCCATGATCTTCTGTCACGTAGGTTGAATTACAAATACCTCGCCCGCAGATTCTGTATCTTGATTGGCAGAGAGCTAGTCACATGGCAGTCGCTATTTTCACTATCTTGCTGTGCACAGCCAAAAAGGACTATACAACGGTCTAAAAGACTATTCAACGGCTGCCTGAAAAGTTATCTTAGGTATTAATGAATACTGGTTCATACATTTATTGCACTCCAGCTGACAAGATTGCCTTTTCTCTACACCATACAGACAAGGAAAACGGCCAACTGGTTGGCGTCACAGATGTCACGGGAGGGTCACGCGGTGGGGCTGCTGAGCGGAGAGCTGGATATCTCGCAACGATTGGCCGTCCTGAAACGCTTCAAAGAAGGCAAGGAGAAGATATTGATCACGACCAACGTCATGGCCAGAGGTTAGTGTCGTACTTGGTTTAGAACCTGAAATATTAGTCTGGTACTCGGTTCTAGAACTCAAAATCATTTAAAGGTGCTTGGTTCTAAAACGTTAAGTGTTGGTGCAGTACTTGGTTTTAGAAGCTTAAAGGTTAGTAAGGTTCTTGGTTTTGGCACCCAAGCATTTGTGAGGTTCTTGGTTCTACAATTTAAAATGTTAGTAAAAGGTAAATTGTGGGTGTTTTGGGGGGAGATTTCTTGAATAAAAAATGGTTGAATTGTACTTTAATACTGTTGCTTTAATTAAAATTGTTGCAGAGAATTGTGTGAAACATTTTGTGGGAAATTACTTTTATTTGTAAAAGTGGTTTGCAAATGTAACCTGATCAATAAAATACAGTCGAGTCTCGTTAATACAAACTCGTTCGGACCTAGCCAAATTGTTTGTTATATCAGAATTTTGTATTAAGAGGAACATCAGTCCCATTCATTGTGCACATAAATGCACAGTCGGGACTAAGGCTTTATGTTTGTTATAACCAGAATTTTGTATTAACAGAGTTTGTACTAACGAGATTCGACTGTAAAAGGAAGGTGCAGATTTTAAATTCATATCCTCAAAGTGTTGACAGTTTCTCACTTGATTCACCAGAAATGCTTGAAATGGTATTGTTTACCACTAGACATCTTTTCAACCGTTAATGAAATATCATTAAAATCTTCAGAATTTTTTAGTTAAAAAAACACACACACTTTGTTGATCGTTATCAATTGAAGTATAACACACGAAGAGTAAATTCCTATGTAAAAGTTAGTATATGGGCAATTCCACAGTTACTCACGTTACATTTTTGATGTACTTTTGAGTTTCCTTGGGCTGTAATTACCTTACTGAAAAGGTTTAATAACTGTTATCCCCATGGTAGATAGAGTAGACCTAGACCTACCTAAGCACCAAAGATGACATCCAGAAAAATGTATTATGTATGTTAAATGAGACGCACAAAATCGGTTACTCACGTTACATTTTCGTAACGTGAGTAACCAATTTTGTGCATCTCGTTTGCATACAGAACTCACTTTTCTGGATGTCATCTTTGGTGCTTAGGTAGGTCTAGGTCTACTCTATCCACCATGGAGATAACAGTTATCAAACCTTTTCAGTTATGGTAATTATAGCCCGAAGAAACTCAAAAGTACATCAAAAATGTAACGTGAGTAACCGTGGAATTGCCCATATTGTGTTTTTACCAACCAGATGGTAATACTTTTTTTTGTCATTAAAACTTCTTACAGGAATTGACATTGAGCAGGTCACTATTGTGGTGAACTTTGACCTACCTGTTGACATGAGCGGTCAGGCGGACTGCGAGACGTACCTCCACCGCATCGGCCGGACGGGGCGCTTTGGCAAGAACGGCCTGGCCATCAACTTTGTGGACAGGCCAAGGAATATGGATATACTCCAACAGATTGAGAGACACTTTGGTGAGTTGACACTGTTCAGATCTCTCCCCAATTACTTGACCGAGTTTGTGACTGAAATCTGGTCTCAAGACTGATCTGGAAAAGTGCAACACTGTATCTCTATACGTCACACTCATAATGCACATTCACTTATGGGCAACAACCTTGACTCTACAGTAAACAAGTTGCAGATATTTATGCGATATATTGTTTTCTTTAATCTGGTAAACACAGTTAGTGAAATAGTAGTGCTAATGATTTAGCATATTCATGACATATTACATATGAGGGTCATTAGGAATCCAGTTTCTAAAGCTGCCCTCAGGTTGTCTTTGCGACGCAACAGATCAGTCGGCGACTGACTTTTCAGGATCAAGCTGTGCTTGAGCTACGACCATCGGGAACACTTTTCTGCGGCCCGAGTGTAGCTGCGACGATATTGAGACATCGGCACTAGTCAGCGAGAGTAGCAAAACAGTGGCAAGAGTAGTGAAACTTCAACATACGCATCGCGACGAACCGTGTTTCTGACAGGCAGGAATCAATCACAGTTGACTTGTGTGAAGTTACAACGGCGTGCGCGCATTCAGATCATCTAATTTAATTTTGAATCAGTGTGACGTTAGCTAGGTAACTATTATTCAGTGTGGAAATGCTGCATGATTTCTCCGTTCGGTGATCGGAGCATGACTTTTGTGCTTGATGCTGATAGTTCCGTCGCGGCGCAAGCAAGTCGCAGGTCGACCCGAGGCTGGCTTCAAAATAGCCAAAACGAGTTGCAAAACAAGTCTGTACTTCTTGTTCCAAGTCGTTTTGTGTTAATTTCTTCCAAGAGGTGTCCACAGCTGTTGATCAGGAGTTCTGTTTCCCTTTTATTTCAGGTCGAAAGATTCTCCCATTAAGTACAGACGACGCCGAAGAACTGGAGAAGATTGTTTGATACATAGGCCTTGAGGATTACTGTCGTAACTTGAAAACCCCAACTTGTACCAGCAGTTGACAATCTCACTTGTTTCTGCACTTACAGTTTTGAAAATGTCGAGTAAATCCAAACAAAGAAGAACCCCACACAGAAAAAAAGAGTCTGGTTTGCGAGTTGCGTCTAAAGCTATTTGTTCATTTAAGCCTAGAGATATTTCAAAATCTACCTGGAGGTTTTTGGAAACTTTGCAGGATCGTCAGGAAAGTAGAGCATTAAACCCATGGGCACTTGTGATACATTGTATTACATTGTGTTTATTCACTGAAGAATCATTAAAACCATAAGAATGCTTAGCGGTTTCGGGTGCTATAGCAACAGGCAGAGCGGTTTTGTCTAAAGGGTTAACATACATGTACAATGACGCTGCTGGAAATTTGATGTACCCAATGGTGGAATTTGGAGGCTCCTAGCAAAAAATGACCAAGTCTAAGAGCGGACTTTTAATTTTATGTCAGTTGAGAGCAGTTGCAAGAACTATTGCGAAAACACCTTGTGAAGTTTTTTCTGTTTTGTTTTGCATATAATTCAGTTACATGTAAGTTTTAACATATGTGTGATAGGTTCGTCAGCTTTGCTACAGTTTCATGAAGAAAGGACAGAAAGCTTTCTCTTTGTGTAAAAGCAAACCTCTTGGAAATGTAATATAGCTCTTTGGTTTTACTTTCTGTTCATGTACAGAATACATGGAACAGCAGATAGTGCTTTGTGAGAACACACAAGACCTGCAGTGTGTAACACACATGGCATGAGTGCGCTGCTTCCAAAAGATACTCATTCATAAATACCTAAGACAGTTGACCCATCCCTATTGGTCGAGAGCCCGTCACCAGCCACGGATCCAGAGGCCGGGTTTTGGGGGAAAAAAACCCACCCCCAGCTCTGACTCAATTTTTTTTCAATAGAAATATCTAAAAATAATGTGAACCCTCCCCCCGCTCTGACACCCACAAAAAATTAAAACTGGTAATAAAGTCTGCCTGTGCACAAAATTTGGACAGATCTAGCTGGGTTACGGTGGTGTTTGTACACTTTTTTGTAATATACATGTAGTGTCAATAATGGTCGGATTTGAACAGCGCCCCTATTGAAAGCCCCCCCCCCCCCCCCCCCCACCACCACCAACTTCTGATTATTCGGAGGCCTAGTGCCCAGAAAAAAAACCACCTGTCTACATGTCATCAATGTGGGGCAGAATGCTAGTCGGGACGATCCCAGGCAAAGTTGGGATAACGGTCAAGTTCGGGCATTATACGGATACTAGACCATTCCAGAGCCAGAGGCGTGATCTGAATCGTGTCTGGGGAAATTGAAATTTAACTACAAAACTACTGAGAGACATTCAACTTGAAAATGGCTCGTTCATATTGCAGCCGTACATAAACAATGCTTTAGAACCATTATCTTCAGGTTTGGTATTTTTTTCAAAAGCTTTTTTCATATCCAATTCCCTAAACTTCAGTGCTTATTTCCAAAGATTTGTGTATCTATGTACTTCATTGCTTCCCTCTTACTGTTCATTTTTCAAAAGAAACTGAAAAGATATCTGCTTTTATCGTTAAACATTTTAGGGGACGCGGAGAACAGATGAATGGGATTTTATATGTTTTTTGTTTTTTTAACAACGTGACATATGAGTTAAGTTATAAATAATCAAAAAATGGGTAATTTACTGAAAATAAAGTGACAGATTTAACTGTTGCGTTTTTGGTTGATCAAAAAACCTGTACAAAGCCGTTTTGTGTAGAATTGTTTTCACAATAAAGATGACACTATGTTACCCTAATAAATTGTGATTAGACTGTTTTAATGTGGTTTCCGTTATTTTTGAAGTTCAACTGGTAAATGAGGGGAACATGGCTTAAATAAAAAATTACCACCAAAACAATGCCTCTTGTATATTAGTACGGTATGTCTACTGAATTAATTTGCATGTCATACACCAATAACATGCCTTATTTTATTGAACAAACTGTATATTTTTGCAATGGGTTACAGGAGGGGTGTATTCGTGTACATCTTACATGATCCAAATAAGTCAGTTGTTGCTCGGAATTGAAACTGGTTGACATGTCCAACGTGTCCAATGAGCAGCAAAAATAGTTTGATTCAGTGTAGTTTCGCATGATGCGTCCCGTTATTTTCTGATCTGACAAGTGAACTCACAAACAATACTGTGTCATTTATCACAACTGGATGTTTATTCAAAGATTTCTGCGGATCTACATGTACCTTGCAGCTGTATGTATGTAGATAATTCTATAATATTAGGGTCCAAAGTGTAACACTTTGCCTGTCTCTGTTATACCTGAACTTAGGAATTCAAGCCAGCATCATTAAGAATTATTTCAGATATTTTTGGTAGGTATTTTGAGATTCACAATCACTCTTGGAGGGTACTGCATCAAAATTATAAACTCACAGATGTCAGATGAACCAGGGACAGAAAAAATGTGCACCCAGAAGTTACAGAATTTACAGAATGATGGTCAACGACCCACCTATCAGTGAATGTTCTTACACAGTATGTACTTACATTTGGTTTTATGTCAATGAACAATGACGACATTATTTATGGCTATAGGCACAGATTGGGGTGGAAAATATCTCCAATTTCATAAAACTAATACCAATATCAATATGGCATAAACAGCATAATGTTTATATGACTTTAGTAAATCATAAGGAACATTATTGAGGTTTGAATTATTATTTTCATCTGTTGTTGGTAGCTGTTCTTTGATCAGCGTCGCCAGGATGGGGCAAGTGAGGTGTCAATGGAGCACCAAAGTGTGATGTCATTTAGAACCAGAAAGTGTAGTGCAAACGAATGGAGTACGCGTGCGTGTTGGTTCACGGGCTGAATCACGTGCTAATGTCTTTTTAAACACATTTTTGTGCCCGTGACGTATTCACTTCGGTACTCCATGGGGGTGGACATGGTGGAGGTGGGCAAATGTCAGCCCGCCCACCTTAAAAAAATGACCAATTGAGAATATGCTAGAGAAAGTACAAGGATTTGGGGAAATAATGTGCTTTGCCCACTCTAGAAAAAATCCTGGCGACGCCCATGTCTTTGACCAAATAACCCCTCAATACCACCTCAGACTGTCCTGCCTATTATTTTCTGTACCGCCTGAGCACTATATGGTGTACAGAGATGCCAACATTACAGACTACAAAATAGTAATGATTCTTCCTGCAAAGAGTAATGCTAATGTAAATACATAGGACAACAGTCAAGTTTAAGAGTAACCACAGTACTTTTCAGAGCAACCACAATGTTGGCGTATAGGACAGCTGGAATTTTTAAGAGTAGTAACATGCCTCAAAATCCTAATAATTACTCCAAAAGAGAAATGGTTGGCAACTCTGGGTGTAATGGATTCAACATATGGTACACATATTTTTGTTCAATTCAAGATTTTAAACTGGGGGTGGGGGTTGCATCCATATCATCTGGGGTGCACATCCCCCCCCCCCCCCCAGCTTCGCCACTACTTTGTAGCACGACCTTTTCATCAATTCCTTTCATCTTGTAACGACTGTACAGCTTGTTTGACATCGTCGACTACTCTGTCGATATCCGCTTTGGTTGTGTGCCGTCCAACGCTGAGTCTCAGAGCATTGGCAGCGATCTCCGACGGTATGCCCACCGCTAGAAGAATATGGGATGGCCTGGCAATATAAAAACATGAAAGTCGAAACAAACATGTTTTAAGAAAACATTAAAGCTTTCTGTGACACTAACACTGCCTAGCGTTTTTTTCAGACCATTCAGTGTTTGTTGCGTAGTTACAGCTGTCTCATAAAGTTAAACAAATGTGAATGGAAATCGCCATTTTCAACTCCAGCTAAGATATATACTACAGTGGTGTCTCTAACACAGGTACCACCAGTGTTGTAGTCGAGTACTTTTTTCCGAGTACCGAGTACTTAGGTTGCCGAGTTAGAGTAAGACTACTTGTACCTCCGAGTACAATTACAGGTCTTCGAGTAAGAGTACAAGTACTTCCGAGTGCGAGTACGAGTACTTGTACTTCCGAGTTAGAGTACTTGTATTTCCGAATACATCCATACGGCAAATGGTTCATTGTGTGTAATTGGCACTGGCCCAGTCAGACCGATATACAGACCCACTCACGGCTAGCTGTTAAATGTGTTTGCCTACGGTGAATTCGGCCATACGGCAAATATGGTTCATTGTGTGTAACTGGCACAGGCCCATTCAGACCAATATACTGACCCACTGTGTTTGTCCGGATGTGCACAGAGGAAAATCAGGAAATTTCGATTTCTCCACAAGCCAATCAACCATTTCAACTGATATTACCGATGAATAAGGCTGTGTTAAGTCAAGCTATTAAGTACTGCTATTCGAGTGAGAGTACTTTGATGATCGAGTAAAATTTTGACATGTCAAGTACGAGTACTTTGCTGCCCAAGTACGAGTACCGTCATTTCGAGTATGAGTACTTTGACATTTGAGTACGAGTATGAGTACTCCAAAAAAAGTACTCGAGTAGTACTACTCGGGTACGAGTACTAAGTACGAGTACTACATAACTGGGTACCACTGACAGTATTTCAATATATATTTTTTTTACTTTTGAAACACGGAACGTTTTCTACCTTAAATGGCTACATTGTTTAAATTTAAAAATCATGTACTAGCTTGTCTCAAATCGGCTTCGAAAATTGTCCCGTGCGTTTCTCTGCCTTTTAAATTCATGTGCGAGAGCTGTGTCCCAAGAACAACACAATATAACTCACTTGCTGTGGCATTCGGAGTGGCATGCTGCTCCCACGCTGGCCTGCAGTATCTTCACCCTCTGCAGAATTTTGTAGCCTGTAGATTGAAAATGTATTCATTTTAGGACTACGTTTGAGTCTAAATTTGACATTTAGCGCCAAGTGCATGCAAAATTGCAACCAATTCACATACATTCGCATACAAGTTCATATTATTCGGGACAAAAAAAGTGCGGGGGGGGGGGGGGGCGGGCAAACCATATATCCCCACCTTAAAAAGTGTGGGGGACTATAGTCCCCCACCGATTGACGCCCATGCCTCGTCTTCAAGAATGCATCTGGCGGTGCACCTCAAGAATGAATTGATTGTTTCACGTTTGTTCGTCGAATTATTCTATAAGGTTGGTTTGACTTACCCTCTAGTCCCTGCCCTATGAACGACACATTGCACGTGTTGGGAATTCTCGCACTGCCAGCGGGGAATCTACTGTTAAAGTGAACGTCATCTCCAAATGCTTCCTGTTGGGAGTGAAAAAGAAGTGACAGTGAATGCAAAATGTGAAGAAGTTTCAGGTAAACTTAGAACTGAGCTTTACGTTTGTTTTGGACCATTATTTAAACTTTCAGTTTGTTCAGAATATTCCCAATGTAAACATTGTGTTCAAACTTTGGATTCTGGTCTGAACATCACTTCCTTTTTTTCCCAGTTCTATCACTTTAAATGGTGTATGTGCAAACAAAACTCTAATGCTTTACTAATTGTATCAGTTTAATCTTCATTCTAAGCTACTTTTTAGTACCTAATTGAATTAGTTTGATATAATTAGAACTGATCTTAAACATTTATTTGACTGCAGCAATGAATTACCTGCAAACGATCCTCCAAGTAATCTCGGACGTCTCTCATATGTTCCTCATATTTCTCCAGGTTCTGACACACAAGTTCAGCTGCCTATAACAAGAGCAGACTTATTGTCAATGTGACTATAGATGCAAATGCACTTTTCAGAAAGCATAGTTTCATTGATAGAAAGCAGTGAAAGAGTAAAACTAAACTCCCCCCCCCCAAAAAAAAAACCACACAAACAAAACAAACAACAAAATTATTGTCTCACTTCTTCTTTGAAAATTATGCAAGTATACTAAGTTAAGTCATGAATATTAGAGTTCATGTCTTCTAGCTTTGGTGACCATGGTTCCAATAACAGGGTAAAAAAAATGTATTGTCCAATTTCTGAAGAAAAAAACTACCAAATTACATTCCACGCTTGTTTATTTGACACTGCCTGTCTATGGTAATGAGACAAAAATTACTCCCAATAAGATCTATTGGTTGAAACTTGTGAAACAACAGACCCACCTTTCCCAGTCCTGCAATCATGCCGGTGTTTTCAGTGCTGGGTTAAAGAAATGAGAAGGGTTTATAAGGATTTTAAAGTTACAAAAAGGAAAAAGGTTTGAGCAACTCAAACTTTTCAATCAATTCCGATTATATCCGGCCTGGAGACACTATTTTTTTCAGCATGTTCAGAACCAACTTCAAACGTCTGTGGCAAAGGAGGGGGAAAATTCAATCATATCTACTAGTAATGGTGAATTCAAACTCGTATTTTTTTAATATTTGACAACTGCTCCTTTCATATATAATGGGACCCAATTTTGCAACCAAAAACCTGACATGTTCCCAAAAGACAACCATCATGCTCATTTCAGTAGAAGTGGGGGTGGCCGGGGGTCGGGGGGGAAGAAGGGGTACAAGCATCCCATATGGCATATATGGTTGCAGACCAAAATACATGTTTTTGATACTTGGGGAATTATTCATTTCCGTGTGGGTGGGGAAAAAAATAAGCAGAGGGCAAAAAATTAAGCAGAGTGCAAATTTAAAATGGGGGTACCACAGGGACTATTTGGGTAGGTACGAAGCCCCAGTGATATAGTTGAGTCTCAAGTCATTTGGGTCGAGTCCGAGTCTGAATCTTGAGTCATGTGGTTCAAGTCCGAGTATGATCGAGTCACTACTCACCTGCCCATATGAATGTGTACGTGTAGGCCTATGCATTGTACAAAATGGATGCGAGGTGCCGTTTATAGCGTTCTTTAGAACTGCTTTAAGTTTTTTTGGAAAATAAACATCGCGAGTCAAAAGGCATGATGGTCGAGTCTGAGTCCACATTGCAAGTTCAAGTCTGAGTCAAATCTCTTGCTGATGTGACCTGAGTTGAGTCCGAGTCACCGGAAATGCGTATTGAGATGGACTTGAGTCCGAGTCCTGCACTCGAGTCCCGGGCCTACAACACTGATATGCCCCAAGGTTTTAATCCAAATTTTGACTGAAGATTTCAGATTAATTGGCACGGCTTCACGCTTACCCAGGCCTGAAGTTTCTCTCTTGCCCGCCTCCATACAGCATGGGGAAGAGAGGTGTGGTCACGCCCCCTCCTTTGACAAAGATGGCACCGATCCGTGGCCCATAGAACTGTGCAAATTACACAAAGCAGAGACAGAGATGTTCATGAGGTGTTAAACAATTTTGACTTTCAGGTCAGACTACCAAGTTGTGATAGGTTGTGACCGGAGTAACTCGTTGTCATATTTCTTTTTTCCTCTTTTTAAGAAAGTTGCACATTTTTCAATATTTAATTCTGAAAGCCGTTCAAGATAAAAGACGCCCCCAAAAGAAACAGACACAATTAAGGGTCGCTTAAAGACCCTTTACCCCAACAGCACATGCGAGCAGGAAGCGTGGTAGATAGAGGCACATTGCTATGCCTGGCCTAATTTGAAAGCATCCCCGAGGGACTCAAAACAGATCATATTCAGTGAAGAACCACGTGGTCAAGGACAAGCTGGTCAGCACACTAGTACAACTACCCCTCAGTCACATTCCCAAGGAATAACCTTACCAGCCTCAGGCCCCTTCCAGGGATGTTGCTGGAAGAGATCAAGGGGTATATAAGCCCCACTCAATTTGTCATTCTTGCAGTCAAAATCAACATAACTCTCAGCGAAATTGTTTTGCTTCAGCAAAAGTTAAAAAAGCAACAGCCTCGCCTAGCCAAGGTCTGCCCGTTGTAGTCTGTCAAACAATTCTGACCTGGCTACGCCCATGCTCCTCCCATAGTGCCACTCTCTCCACAACCCCACCTGAATTTGCCTCACCTTGTGTCCAACCACGGTCAGATAATCCACCCCCAGCTCCTCCACGTTCACGTCAATCTTGCCGATGGTCTGGGCTGCGTCGTTGTGGAGTAAGACCTGTGGCAGTTCTCGTTTGGGGTCGCGTTTGACGGCTCGAATGCTCCGGCAAATCTCCGATATAGGCTACAAGTAAATATTTTTAAAAAATGGATTTGTCTCCAGCTTTGGGTTTATTGTGCTTTATGAATTGAGGTCTCTCCTTTTGGGGATGAACCCAAAGCCTCAGGCAAAGCCTAGATTTCAGAAATGGCCTGAAAAATCAAAGCAGTGAAGAAAAAAAATACTAAATGTTTTTGGAAATAAAAAAAACCTTTGTGGTCGAGTAAGATGTCTTCACTAATAAGCAGGTCATGGGTTCGAGTCCCACCCAAATGATTTTTTTGTCACAATAACTCCAGACATCACCGAGTATACACTTTTTACAGAAATATGTCGGTGACGGTGATGGGCAAAACCTTATATTATCTGTGTGATACCTGAATGATTCCTGTTTCATTGTTGGCGTGCATGATAGTCACCAGGCAGGTCGTAGGTCGCAGGGCAGCGATGATGTCACTGACCTCAACATGACCTGTCAGCTTGGAGGCAGGCACAAAGGTCACCACTGCAACGAAGGAAGTAAAACTCTTGTATCAACTTAACAAAAGGCAGCACAATTAAGTAGTCGGTAAAAAAGTAATCGTCCATTTTCAATTTGTTGCTATGTAACTCAATCAGGGCATCTCAAATGATTCCATGATGACTTGTGCACTGCATTACTTTGTGAGACGTGTCATAATTATTACAGATACGTAGTATACAACATATTCGCAAGTGGAGCAGCGAGTTTTCGTGCAAGTGGTCCCTGATCATAGCATTACCGGCTTGCCTTTCGTCCACCAGGTGTTGCAGCACGAGCTTGACTGAGTCGTGTTCCAAGTTGGACGTGATCACGTGTGGGAGGAACTTGCTGTGATCAGGTGCTCCATCTTCTGTCGTATGTCCCGATTGGTCGAGAAGTGGGAAGGTTCTCCAAAAGTGCTGTATGGCAGTGTGTATGACCATGTTGTTGGCCTACAAATAATTGACATGATTGATACACACATATTGTTTTCTACATTTACAAATTTTATGAACAAAGCAAATTGATGTTAACAGTATATGAGATTTTGACAGCTATAAGAATCACGTGTCATTTAAACACTTTAAATGAAACTCTTTTTCATTTTGGTTAATTAAAGAGCCTAGCTGTTATCCTTTAAGTCTTTTTCTGAGTGGCACGTACGTAAAGGGCTGGGTTCAGGGGGTTTGCCCCCACTGTGATCACCCCAAGAAAAAAAGAGAAAAGATAGAAAATAAGGAAAAACCCATCTTTAATTTCTTATGTTTACAAGAAACTTCCAGGGATGTAACTTAAATGAACAGTACACATTATACCTTCATTTTTTTGTTGCACATAGTGCTTCTAGTGTTGAATGATGTAAAATAGTTTTCAAAAACTTTCATAAGAAATTTGATGAGAAATAAAAACTTAATGTTACCTCTGTACCGCCTGATGTAAAAACGACATCTTCCCTGTGAGCCCCAATCATTGATGCGATGTCATCTCTGGACTTTGTGATGATCTGTTTGGCTTTCTGGCCTAGAGACAAGAATTTGATGTGCATTGAAGATTTGAATTTAACAAAATAAGTCAGTCTGAAAAAAAAACACTCACTCTAGATGTATACTCTCAGTCCGTGTGATGAATTAAAAGTCTAGCAAGCAGTAATTTGGCCTCATTCCTTGTATTTCGTGATGGGCCGATCGAGATGCAGTTGCCTCTCTCAAAATTAGACCAGACCTACATGTATATTCAAAACATGTCTTTATGAAAATAAATATAGGGAAAAGAAAAGTTGTAAGCGGAATTGACTGCCAACCATCACCATACTGACTATAATCAACTGGTTATGTTGTATGTAAAATGTACCTGCTGCATATGAACTGCTTGGGTTGCCCCAAGCTTTAGCCAAAGCATCATGGATGGCACTTAACACCTGTGGCTCCAAGGGCGTTGTGGCATTGTAGTCCAGATACACGCTGAAAATGCAAACACACAACAAAAACAAATTTGTTTTTGTAGTCACAAAAGCAAACGTGCATTTTGTGCACATCTTTTGTGCACAAAAGACGTGATCTAAATTGTGAAAAAATCATTGATTTAACACCCAGCATGATCACGAGGGAATTCATCATTTTTTTTAAAAGGGTTATGAGGTCAACTTGAAGAAATTGAATGTTGAAATGCCAGGAAAATGTTATTGTCATCACCATGACATTATTTGCAGCATTATAACTATAGCTATATCATATTCTGCTGATGAGTGCCTTATTGGTACGAAACAGTCTGTCCAAAAGAGAGATATGCCAAAGTTTGTATTTATATATATAGACTGAGTTTATATACCAAGTTAGTAGTTTGGTCTTTTATTTTTGTTTAAATAATGAAAGATTCCATACATTTTTTTTAGCAACATCTAGGGAGTTCCACTGCTTGGGACCCTCATGAATACTACAGTGGTACGAGCAAAGGACTGATTATATTGTAACAAAATTGGAAATGTTTTTCTTGCAATTTTAACAAACTAAACTTTTTATGCACTTGATGGTAGTGATTGCTAGTGTAAACCCCTATAATGTGGCGCACTTCAAGGTCAACGTTTCCCTCATTTTTCCAACGTTTGCCTCAGACGTGTTGCCAAACCTCTTCGTAGAAAAACTTCTAATTCATTCAGTTAAATCATGGAGGAAGGAATACTGGTATGTACTATTATCTTAATTAATATGCTTGCTGTTCCTTTGTGAACAATTTTAGTGTCATGAAATTAGTAAGTTAATTCTGCTTCGTACCTCGAACATAGCAATCCTCTTTTTTTATACTTATAAAACTCTTTAAGTAAATGATATTTATTTATTTATACTTAATGATATTTATTTAGTAAATTGGCCACATTTATGGGGCTAATGATTTACATGATCTAGTTGGTGCATGAAGGTCCCAAGCTGGAGAGAATATTTACTAGACTAGTAGTACAGTAAATTGGCCACAATCATGTTTCCGGCATTATGTCCGGGGCGTACTACTACTGGCTAAATCCAACTATAACAAAAAATGCAGTGGCTATCGTTACAGCAGCCGTAACGCATTTCCCATTTTCTATCATTACGGTAGTACGTACTGCAACTTTTATAAAAACATGAGAAGAAAATATAAAATTAGAAGGAAAAAAGTGAATTTGAACGTTATGAAATTCGGACGTTTAGTTTCCCTTTAAAAAAAAATCCTCCAAAGCCTCAGGTTAGAAAAGGAACAGAATTCAAGTGCAAAACTGAGACACGATTGCGAACCCGCAACCTCGCCGTGCAAAATCCTTCCCTCTATCGACTGAGCTGTCGCACTGCTCGCTAAAATGTGGGGAAACAAATAATTATATACCTGGGGTGCATTTTGGCATAACAATTGGTTTGGTGGTTTCTTGTCGGTGAATTTCTTCGGCAATTTTAATTGGGTTAGAATTACGCATGATCATGTAGTACTCAAATCCCCAAAACAATTAACCAAAGAAAAAACATCGAACCAATTCTTGGTTATGACCGCCAAAATGCACCCCTGCATGTGTATCAAAAAAGTATCGTAGAGGGTGCTATAAACAACGGCTGCCGTAACGATAGCCACTTTGTACAAAAAAAAATGAAGAAGTGCATCAGCATTACCAGATACTGAGTGACAGTTAGCCCCATAAATGTGGCCTATTTACTGGACTGCCTCCGTAAACATAGGTCACACATCCACATGTACAAAAACGTGTCGCACTTTGCCAAATTTTGATTTTCACATTTAGGCTCAGTTTGTACAATTGTAGGGTTTTTTTTGCTTTAGAAGCATTCTCACCCTCTTTATAGGCTAATCAGAAAGTGCTGCCTTTTTCAGATGTATAATTTTTGTGAAATTTCATGTTGAAATTTTGATACGCAAACGTGTGCAAATGTATCTGGAAATTTCACGAAAAATAGACATCTGAAAAAGGCAGCACTTTCTGATTAGCCTATAAAGAGGGTGAGTATGCTTCTAAAGCAAAAAACCCTACAAACTAAGCCTAAATGTGAAAAACAAAATTTGGCAAAGTGCGACACGTTTTTGTACATGTGGATGTGTGGCCTATGTTTACGGAGGCAGTCCAGTAAATAGGCCACATTTATGGGGCTAAGTGACAGTGAGACAGTGTAACAAATACAAACTAGAGGTTGTAGGAACAACCACACGGTGTTGGGCAATGGATTACCGAAAACTTTGCCACACACATCAACTCAAAATATGCATGTTTAAATCCATGTTTGACTTTTTCAACATGCCGCCAGAGGGCGCTCTAACATTTATGACGTCACCTGTAAAATTTTTGCACAGTACTGCCTAGGCAGACACTCACATTGTTGAAAGCAAGTTTGCATCTTCTGCAAATTTCAAATAATAAGGCACTTCCAGTTTCGACCGGAAGGAAGGGTCACGTGATTTTGCACTTAATACCAAAAATGAAGACCCTGCAATATTGTATCGATTGCCATAAAGAACAAAATCAAATCTGTAGCAGTTGATTTTATATTGATTTTCAAAGATTAAATCTAGAAATCTTTGATCGCTTGTAATACGATACTTGATGACGTCATCATGACGTCATTACCAGAAAGTTCAAGAGCTATTTTAACTGTGCTGTATACAGCCTAGACCCGTGAACGTGGCTTGTAAACTACAACGTCCACGTTCACGGGTCTAATCAGCCAAATCTTGATTATATCTGTCACGCCCCAACTATCGCATCGGTCCCAACTATAGTTGGGCCTGTCCCAACTATAGTTGGGCCTGTCCCAACTGTAGTTCCACAGTTGGGCTGGCCCAACTATAGTTGGGCCTGTCCCAACTATAGTTGGGACGGTCCCAACTGTAAGTTCCATTGTTGGGCTGGCCCATCTATAGTTGGGCCACTCCGATCTTTTTATTTTGCGGTGTCCCAACTATAGTTTACATTGATGTACAACCATAAAACGTTCCCTACAACTCTGATACACGTCTGACTTTACTGGGGACCACTGAAATTAGCTATTGATGGGGCGAATCTATAGTTGGGCCACCCCAATCTTTTTATTTTGCGGTCCCAACTATAGTGTACATTGTTGTACGATTATAAAACATTCCCTACAACTCTAATACACATCTGACTTTACTGGGGACCAATGAAATGATCTATGGGTGGGGACCATCTGTAGTTGGGCCACCGCAATATTTTTATTTGGCAGTCCCAACTATAGTGTACATTGATGTACGACTATAAAACATTCTCTACAGCTCTGCTTACATGTCCGACTTGGGACCTTTGACATTAGCTATGGGTGGGGCCCATCTATAGTTGGCCGGCCATGGCAATCTTTGAATTTTGCAAAATGTTGCTGGATAATAAAACCCAGCAGCTGGACAACTCATCCAACTAGGCAGTACCACGTGACCGGCCAGCCTTGCGGCATGCATGCACGACGAATACACGGTGCCAGCGCCGCGGAACATTTAATCCAACAAGATCTATCAAGCATGAAGCATCCGGCGCAACTCCAGTCCTAACTATAGTTGGGCCGACCCAACTGCCGCACTATATTGATTTAATTAATTCGAAACAATTAATGATGATAAAGATGCTCTGTGTTTTAACCATTAATTGATCTCCATTTTACATTGATCTCCATTAGTAAGACTTAAATCAATGGTTTCAACCCATGCAACTCTAAAACAAGTAGATTTAGTACCGGACCGATATTGGAGGAGGAGGGGGTATCGAAGGTCGCGTGGGCCGAGTCGTAACATTGTACTTGTTACACCCGGTACAATTACGTACGGAACCCTTGACATGCATGGGGCCTGCTAAAGAAGGACATACACGACGGAAACAGGTCAACTCGTACGCGAACCAACTCGTACGCGAGTCAACTCGTACGCGGATTGGTCAACTCGTACGCGAGACAACTCGTACGCGAGCCAACTCGTACGCGTGCCAACTCGTACGCGAGCCAACTCGTACGCGAACCAACTCGTACGCGAACCAACTCGTACGCGGGCCGTTTTAGGAGTGGTTTCGAGGATTGGGTTGGCATGGTTGGGAAGAATTTGGGAATAGTGTGACGGGTAGTCCGTAGTTCAATGTGTGACCGTTGTGTGTGATTGGGAGTGAACCCGTGAATGATGATAATAAAGTAACTGATTTTTGTAGTTAGACGAGTGTTGTATCGCCATTGTTTTATTTTACAAAATATAATTTGGAGACATAAATAATTAATAACAAGAAAATCGCATTTGACCCAAGAAACCTCGCATTTCCAGTGCAATTATATAAAATTCTGATTTTAACAAAAAATAAAAATCAACTCCCATTTTTTCTTTTTTTACAAAATATTATTTGGATATATAATAATTAGGACTAAAAAACTATCTGACACAAGCAAAAAACTGGCGGACACTGTCCGTACAACTGTATAAGCATGCGTGATGCTATATTCCTTTTTTTATAGTAGCTCCTTTTTATACAATAGACCTCGCAAATATCGGTGTTTTCTTGTCATTTTACTTGTCTAACCAACCAGCATTGTACCGCGGCATACACAGGTTACAGCGATTCAATCATGCATTCTTTATACAGTGCGCGGTGCGGCGGGAACCAATCATACTGGTTATCGCGAAGACAACTTCCCAATGAATCAAGCGAACTTGTAAAAAAAAAAAACAAACGCAGAATTCTTCTCTAAAAAATCGTGAATGTAAGTAGCACTGGCGGATTCAAAAATCAACTACATTTAATTTGAAAATCTCAACCTTTCAGAAAAGGTAAAATTATGCCGACCTACCGTACCGAACCTAATTTCATCTGTCCATGTGAGCTAAACCAATCGTCTAAACTCACGCGTACGAGTTGGTCCGCGTACGAGTTGGTCCGCATACGAGTCGGTCCGCGTACGAGTTGGTCCGCGTACGAGTCGGTTCGCGTACGAATTGTCCCGCGTACGAGTTGGTCGCGTACGAGTTGGTTCGCGTACGAGTTGACCTGTATTCTACACGACGATCACGCGCGGACCTACATGTACATGTATGATGTAATGTACATGTACATGCACATGTACATATGTACAGAATTCATAAGTTTGATGACGCTGTACTGTTCACGGCATAAATTATGATAAGTGGTAGCTCCGCCACTCTAAGCACGATGGCCTTGGCGAAAGGCTAGGAGGGGTTCGCCCCCAACATCCTTTTGTAGGCTATTTGTACTTTTTTTACATGTACCGGATACCTTGTTGTTTCTTTTTTTGGCATAGCTGCACTTTGCAATTTCACAATGACTGGCGTCATTGTTGTATTTTTTGTTGAGTTGCGCAATAGTTGACTGGGAATGCCCCCTGCCGACTGGCTTCAACCTCGTCCCCAGTGCTTGCTTTATTTCAACCTCGTTTCCAATAGCGGTAGTGATGGGCGCGTACTGTAGGTGCACCAGTCGGAACTATTTTCTTTACTAGCGTAGGACACCCGACTATGGTGAACCTTAACCTGGCGCGCGTTTGGTAAACAGTAGTAAGAATAACATCTGGCACGTGATGGTGAATTGACCAGTGAACGTCCGGCTCTCGATCATGAATATGTATGACGTATAGTAATCTCAAATGTTGCATCATATGACTGGCTTTGGCTTCGTCTTTGGCTCAATGATATTTTAGGCCCCAACTTCAGGGATTCCAGCTACATTTTGGTGCCTGTTATGCCTCAGGAACATTCAATCGGTTGATATGAAGACAAAAGTTGGAATATTTTCGTTTAGTTTGCCTCTCAGTGATTCAGAAGTAGGAGGCGAAGCCGAAGCCGAAGCAAAGGCTACAAACATTGATTTAACGAATACAGGTCAGCTCGTACGCGAGGAATATTCCTCCACGATTTAACGAAGTACCCACACGTATACCTACGCTGCACTGTCATATAAAAGCGCTCGCCGGCCGGCCAGCGCAACTACTAGTACTAGTACAGTCTGCTAACGTAACGCGGATAGCATTGGCAGATCATGGAGGAATATCAAGCAAATTATACACATGTAGCTAGCTAGTCTGAGCTCGGTCGAGCATGGAGGAAGGAACACACAATCTGGCATGTCTGAGTATCGCTCGTTATTTTTGAATCTCAGAAAGTTGACTGGACATTTATTAAGGTTGTTTTCCTAGATGTTAAAGATGTTTTCCTAGCTAAGCCCCGGCCCAAGGGCTGTCTTAAATTGGGATGATGATGTTTGATCATTGTGTTTATAGCTCCATGGTTTGATGGAGAAGTTCATCAGGGAGCTTGTTCAAGTCCACAATCATGACAATCGTCTAGTTTGGGAAGCAACTTTTGTGGAAACTGGAAGCGTACTCGGTAGTGAGCCTGCCGACTTTTCTGCGACGTTGGAGGGTTGGCCATTGAAGATTTTGCTGCATGTCTGTGACACTTGAATGGACTAGATGTTCTTTGGTAGTCCCTGTTTAATACGATACGAATCTTGCTGCTGGACTCTTTACTTTTTCCAGTGAGGTGGTTTGATCATGCTGATGGATCCCACACTGTGGCTGCATATATTCTAACTGGTCGAGTTATCCACGGAGCCCAGTCACCTGCGCCAGACTATTAGTGATTACTACTAGCAAGCTCGGCCATGAAGAAAACAAATTGTATAGATGGGTATTCGTATAGATAGTAGGCCTAGGCCTTCTCATATTTTCGTACCTCCTGTATTAAACCGAGAGCCCAGAAGAGATACAGTCACAGTGGGGCTAGTCAACCGGCCGTGTTGGTGAGTCGAGTGCAATAATTAAGGGGTGTACTGGGGCGCTAGCCCCATAAATGTGGCCTATTTACTGGACTGCCTCCGTAAACATAGGCCACACATCCACATGTACAAAAATCGTGTCGACTTTGCCAAATTTTGATTTTCACATTCAGGCTTAGTTTGTAGGATTTTTTTGCTTTAGAAGCATACTCACCCACTTTATAGGCTAGTCATAAAGTGCTGCCTTTTTCAGATGTCTAATTATTGTGAAATTTCATGTTGAAATTTTGATATGCAAACGTGTAAAAATGAATCTGGAAATTTCACGAAAGAAATACATCTGAAAAAGACAGCACTTTCTGATTAGCCTATAAAGTGGGTGAGTATGCTTCTAAAGCAAAAAAATCCTACAAACTAAGCCTAAATGTGAAAATCAAAATTTGGCAAAGTCGACACGATTTTTGTACATGTGGACGTGTGGCCTATGTTTACGGAGGCAGTCCAGTAAATAGGCCACATTTATGGGGCTACTGGGGCGCTAGAACTCCTTTTTTGACATTTGGGACTCTCATGCGGAGCATCATACAGTCTGACTAGCTTGAGTAACTCCAGCTGTGTTCCATATTCGTTACATGTGAATGAATATGGAACATGTCGGCTAGCAGCTGGAGTTACTCTAGCTTGAGTAACTCCAGCTGACATGCTCCATATTCATTCACATGTAACGCTGGAGCAATTCCTTCCTCCATGGCTGGAGGAAGGCCTGTGCGTTTCCATGTGGTAGCAAGAGACCCTAAAAAAATGGCCTCTCCCAAAAATTGTTCATTTTCACCTCTAATATCCCACCCCAGAGTTCACCCACATACCTCATAGTTTCAGCAGTCATTTACGAAGCCTAATGATCGACTTGAAACAAGACCTCAAAAAAAAAACGTGAAAAATCTTGACAATTTCGGTGGCTTGTCCGTAAAAATACGCCAGTTCCAACGGCTGTCTTCCATTTTGTTTTGCTAATTATATTAATGTATGCATGACGTGTGACATCAAAAAATCGGCGCGCGCGCGATGTATGTGGGTACCACACCGCTTTCAGGCGTCGCGAGTGAGTTCAATTTTCGTCTGGTGCGTTGCCGTGGAGAGCATTCTCGTTGTCTTGCTTTCCGCGACAACGCACCAGACGAAAATTGAACTCACTCGCGACGCCTGAAAGCGGTGTGGTACCCACATACATCGCGCGCGCGCCGATTTTTGATGTCATACGTCATGCATACATTAATATAATTAGCAAAACAAAATGGAAGACAGCCGTTGGAACTGGCGTATTTTTACGGACAAGCCACCGAAATTGTCAAGATTTTTCACGTTTTTTTTGAGGTCTTGTTTCAAGTCGATCATTAGGCTTCGTAAATGACTGCTGAATGTATGAGGTATGTGGGTGAACTCTGGGATGGGATATTAGAGGTGAAAATGAACAATTTTTGGGAGAGGCCATTTTTTTAGGGTCTCTTGCTACCCTACCACATGGAAACGCACAGGCCTTCCTCCAGCGTTACATGTGAATGAATATGGAGCATGTCAGCTGGAGTTACTCAAGCTAGAGTTATGCTATACAGTCTGAGTGACAGTAGTTCTAGGAGGAAGGGGTGTGTACGCGTGTGTGCGGCATGTATCTCGGCGATCGTGTAGCGTAGGGCCCCTGTTTTCATGGTTTTGTTTTGATCAAATTGGAGTCAAAATGTTTTTTATGGCTAAAATTTAAAAAATCACATTTAGGCGAAGTAAAAAAAACAACCATGTTTAGCGTCCCCGCCCGCTTCCTTTTTAGAGGCCGCCTCCTTTTTTTTTTTTTTTTTTTTTTTTTTAAAGACAAAAATTGATAAATTTTAACGATCTCTGACGAAAGAAATCGTATTTTTAGACTTTTATACCGTGTATAAAGCTGTGGAAATAGTCAATGAGTCCAAGTGGCGGCCATTTTGAAAAAAGCTGGTAACCATCTTGAAAAATAGCCCGGCTACCGTTGTCTTGAAAAATGTGTCGGGCGGCCATTTTGAAAAGAAAAAAAAAAAAAAAAGGGCCTCCTCCTTCCTTTTTGTCAAAGCGGCAGGACGCTAAACATGTTTTTTTTTTTATTTTGCCTTATATTCAAAAGTAGACCCGTGAACCTGGCGTTGTATATAGCCAGGTTCACGGGTCTAAATCAAAAGCAGACTTCTCAATTCTAATGACACCCGTTTTGCAATTTTGAACAGTTTCTTGAGGTAGAAATCATGATTTTTCGCCAACTAGTTTAGTCTAATAACTTTAAAGCGGAATTTGTTTCCTTAAGTTAGGAACCGGGCCCTACACTACACGATCGCCAGGGGCGATCGTGTAGTGTAGGGCCCGGTTCCTATAAGGGAACAAAATCCACTTTACAATTAGGAAAGATTTCCATATATACGAAGTTCACACAACACTCTGTGAACAAACCCTATGAGAATGAGAGTGGACTGAAAAATTTTAAGTGTTTTTTAAGAAAATGCTTGTATTTTTTCACTGCTCAAATTGACTTTGATGACATGAAATTGCTATCTGGGGGCTTGTTAGGCAATACAGAGGAAAATTAGTGAACTTCGCTTATGGTTATCTTGCCTAAAATTATTGGACCTAGATTAGAGGGCAGGGTTTTGATTTTTGGGGGGAAATTTTGGGGTAAAATAACAATGACAGCGCGGCGACAACATGCGACCTGAAAATAAAGATGGCGATCACTGCGCGATGTACAGTGAGCACGCACGGCGCGCTGAATCGCAAGGCACAAACCGCACAGGAAAACCGTGATTTCTACCCCAAGAATCTATTCAAAATTGCAAAATGGGTGTCATTAGAATTGAGAAAAGTCTGCTTTGGATTGTAAAGGTGATTTTTGAGGAATGAAAAACGTTTATGACTCTAATTTGATCAAAACAAAACAGGGGCCCTTCACTTCACAATTGCCTGTATCCTATCCTATCCTATCCGTATCCTATCCGGTGATGTGACTAGTGTAGCAAGGGGTGATGGGTGCTGTTTCAGGTCAACTTGGTCCGTGACCAACTCGGTCCGTAACCATCCTGGTCCGTAACCAACTCGGTCCATTACCAACTCGGTCCGTAACTGGCTCGGTCCGTAACCAACTCGGTCCCTAATCGGCTTGGTCCTTATAATTATATGAAAATGTACGCAAAATCATTGCATTTTCTTTATCGTTTGTCTGTTTCTTACGCCGATTTCTCGGCCAGTATTAAGCTTCACGGATTTGGGATTTGATTTAGTACTAGGGCCTCTCAACCGGTAAATAATAATTTATGTAAAAATGGAACGCTCCACTAAAACACATTCTGAATCACAAACCATGGCCGGCTCTGTGGCCATGCGCGGCGCAAACGATGTCACCGGCACCGTGACCGTGGATATGACCATTAACTAATGAAGATCCATGGGAACTTGGGACCCTCACGCGTTGACCGGCTGGCCCCTGGTCCTAGCTGGGCCGGCAGACGCGGTCAAGTTGACCGGCCGGTGCTGGGGGTACAGCGCAGCTAGCAGGCAGGCCTGCGGGCCGCGCCGGGCGCCACGCTATAAATTCTGCTGATCGATCGACAGCACTGAAAAAAGCGGCAACATTCTCGACCCTCTTTCTTATTTAAAATAAAGCAATTTAACAAAAAGTAACAAGAAAGAATTTAACAAATATTTATGTACTTAAGACATCATAAAGGATTCCATGAACTAAGTCTAAGATTATTTCTAATGGGATTCCGTCAAACGTTTGAAAGATTTCCAGCAATAAACGTACCCCAAACGTACAAGATTATTGAAGGTCACGATCAATCATCGATTGACGCGAGTTGCATTTTTTTCCCACTTAGTGACCGGAGTAGCCTACGTAAATACGGAGTGACTGTATGAGACTGGTTTGCCGGCATGGCCTTCCCGTGGTACCGGGTACAGGTACCGGGCCGCTGGGTGACCGATGGGCCGTGCCGGCAGCCTGCCTAGCCTCGGCACACATAGGTCATGTAGGTCGTGAGTGAAACTTTTATTTCAAAATTCAGTTTGAAACCCCATAAGCTACATGTATATCCCTGGCCCGAGCCGGTTATAGGCCTACCAGTAACATAGCCTAGAAATCCACCTAACAGAAACAAAAGTGCTTACAAAGATCAGTTTGAAGTAAGGAATTTAAAAAAACACGCGCTCGAGATTGTTTTGCTACAACTTACTAGAAAATAAACAAACTTTTTTGTGTACATTTTCCTATATGGATCGAGTCAGTTACTGCCCAAGTTGGTTACGGACCGAGTTGGCTACGTACCAAGTTGGTAACGGACCGAGTTGGTTACAGACGGAGTTGGTTACGGTCTTACGGACCAAGTTGACTCGGACCGAGTTGGTTACGGACCGAGTTGACCGACACCCACTCATGTGCATAGTCGATGTCGGTGAGTGGAAGTCCCAGTATAAACTAGGACTCCACGAATCACCTTTTTTAACATTTGGACACTGCCGGGCGATAGTAGAGTCCTAGGATCAGATCATACCTCTATTGCGAGTACTCCTAGAACTATGGGTATTACACATTATGTGTAATACCCATAGTTCTAGGGGTATATCGCGAGTGCCATAAATCAAATTCCAATTGTTTTCATCGAATGTCAGAACTCGACCGTTGAGACAACTTGACTCGGGACAGCTCGACCGGTAAATTCAATCAGTAAATCGTGACTTATCACCAGAACCATTGAGTATTTTTGTCATGTACGATGAAATTCATTCAGAATGTATTTTTCAGGTTTAACATAACGTTGAGACAACTCGACCATTGAGGCAACTTGACGGTGGAGACAACTCGACCGTTGAGACAACTCGCACACCGTAGGCCTACTTTAATTAGGTCAAATACATGACGATATGTAGAAGTATTCCAATATTTAAGCTTTTAATAGGAACTCTTTACGTATAAACAAAATAAATAACATTCATATACATGTATGTAACATGCCAAGCCTTCAACTGAAAATTGTACTTTTTATTGCAGATTTGTCGAGGAATTCCAGCAAATACAGCATATCAATATCCTGGGTGAAATTTACCTGTTGATAATTCAGCAAGAAGTTGAAGTTACACTACCCACTGTTCCCTTGTGAGTACTAGTGGTTTACGTTGTAAATACCTTGAGTGAGAGTGACCATATGCCTTCATTAACCTAACCGCCCTGAATCCTCCAAAATCCTTTTTGGAAATTGAAGGAATTTGCAGGATTGAGGTTACATGGCAAAAGTGCGTTGCTGATTTCGGAGTACGCACTGTGTCAAGGTCTTGGGCCCAACCTTGTGTTGTTTATGCTCAGCCGTGCATAAATTTAGTCCTTGATTATACTTGACATCCTCCGCGCTGCTCCAGGATGTCACTGCCTCTGCCTCAGCCTATTGACAGTCATAGCCGGAGGATTTTGCAGGATTCAGGCAGTGGTCACCCATCCATCCATGGACCATATTCAAGAAATAGCGGAGGAATTTGCAGGATTGAGGCTATATGCTATTTTTCCATGAGGCCAATTGGAGGATTTTGCAGGATTGAGGCTACTTCCTAGCAAAAAGGCCTAGGGAGGTAGGGTTAAAAAGAGGAAGGCAAATCAGAGAGTCTACTTCACTCTACTTACCTGTAGAGCAACACTACTTATGCATATTCCCCCTACCGGCAGGTATTTTCGCTAAGAGTTGTATACAATAGCGCCCTCTGGCGCCCTACCCATAACACCCCGCGGCATGCGTGCCTCGTGAGCGTCCTCTTTTCTCTTAGCGGCAGGTCGGGTAGGACGTGCGTGAAATAGCTCGCTGTTTGCCTCGTCATTTACTACCCTTTTTTGCGTTTAAGAGAAGTATTTAATAATAGAGTTAATAAAACAACAGTTTGTAGAGTTTTCATCATCTTCTTGGTTGTATTTATTTGATTATTTTGCAGCGTTTGGGGAGGGCCGATCTGTCATTAACCGTTAGGGATAGCTCTCCCACGGGACGGACCGAGTTCTCGGGGGACTCTGCCGTTAACGCTCCGACGTTACCGCGGCAGCAGTCTCTCGTCCGGCACCCTCAGCCACAGTCGGCTGGGGGAGTTGGCAGTTCCGCCGATCAGTTAAGGGGACCTCGGTCGCCTTCTCCGGTCGACTCGGGCGGAACACCCAAACTAAAGGCACACTCCGGCAAGGTTCCCCTAAAACATATCTCCTGTGCCGGAGCAAAGCCTAAGAAGGGCCGTCAGGGCAAGCGTGGCTCGGCAACGAGCGCCGCTTTGGCACCTAGCCCTCCCCGATCACGGGGCAGCCCGAGGGGACTAGCCGTCACACTTCGGTGGGCTCTAGTCACCCGTGCCCTCCCGACACAGTGCCGAACACCACTGGTTGTCGGGATGGGCTATTGCATGGGCTACCGGTCCGTTCAGTGCTCGCTCAGCCCACGGGGCCTGAGGCGCTGTCGGCCGGGTGCATTGTGAGCGATACGGAGCCGGTCGCCCCGGGGGATCCCGGGCCGACGGCCCCCGTGCCATCTCGCTCAGAGGGACTACTCTCATCATCGGAATTTTTCCGTTGTTCGGGGGTCCCGGTGTCCCAGGTGTTTTCCGATTTTTCCCCGGACACACCTCGGGTCGTTCTTCTGAGAAGAAGAAGAAGGCTGCACGTCGATCGCGCCGTTCTTCTTCGGGGTTTGACGACTCCTCTGACCGGTCCCGCCGGGGCAAACGCTCCCGGGGGGAGGACGCGGTTTCTAAAGCAGATTTTCTGCAGGCTTTTCAGTCGATTTCCGATACGCTATCGGCTATGTCGGCTATGTCGGCAGGCCGCCGGGCGGGCCCTATTGGGGGGCCCCCTGCAGCGGTGGACTACGGCCCACAACCATCGGTTGTTGGGCCCACATCGCAGTATTCAGTCAACGGTCACGCTTGTGTGGCCCGGGAACAGAGGGACATACCGCACACAATTAGTCGTGCTGCGGCGTCCCTGCCTGCGGTGTCCCTGCCTGCGGTGAGGGCTTCACAGTCGTCGTTCGTTGGCCACGGTTGGGTGGCCCAGGCACAACGGGATATACCACATATGGTTGACCGTACACCGGAGGCCCGGCCTGCAGCGAGTGTCTCGCATGCATCGGCCGTGAGCACAACGGGGTACATGTACATGTACAAAAATGAAAAAACACATGTCCGTACATGTACATGTTCATGTATACCACACATGGTTGCGCGCTATACCGGAAGCCCGGCCTACGGCGAACGGGACTTCTCATTCGCCAGCCGTGACAACGGGACCTACCGCACACAGTTAGCCGTGCGTCAGGATCCCCGCTTGTGTTTAGTCTTCACCATCTGCATAATATTATGTACGATGTATGTCTATTATCTCCGAGGGTGTTGCCCAGCCACCACCGCGTGGTTCTGTACAACTAGCCCCTCCAGACGGCTCTCAGTCATCGGGGTCATTTTGGCCTTCGCATTCGGCTGATTCATCCGATGATGACGGAGAATCAGACCAGTTACAATGGCTGTCAATCGCGGAAACGAAATTCCGTTTGCTGCAGAGGACATTACACGGGTACTTAAATTACCCTCCAATGACAAGGTGTTCCCCACACCTCCGTTGGATCAAATGTGAAACACATCGACAACGGACAAAGTGGTGTCCATTTCTCAGGCAGGAACGGATTATTTATTTATTTATTTATTTATTTATTTATTTTTTTTCTAATCCGGGCGAGTTTATTGAACCGGTCCCACCGCGGCATACGCTACCGTGATGAGGACTCGGTTTTTCGGCCCACTCATTACAAGCCTTGCTATGTTCTCGGCTTTATTATCGGTCATATACGTTTTATACACGTACATGTATTGTCAGGCGGGCACGTTAATGAAACGTCCGTCTTAGTTCAGTTGTGAGCCGTGAACTCTGTAGCACTCTACATTAATCACGGTTGGGTGACTCAAGGACAATGGGACACGCCGCGCAGTGCTTACCCGTGCGGCGGTGTTTCTTGCTGTACTGAGATCGCTACATTTTTCATGCACATTGTACATGTGTGCATTACTTGTGTATGCACAATGTACACTGTCCATTGTCTCCGAGGGAGTTGTTCAACGACTGACCGTGGCCGTGTGCAACGCATCCCTCCAGATATATTTACGGTTCTCGTTTACGGGGTCTATTCGACTCTTGCAGGCATGTTGTGGACCACATTCGATAGATTGTGCCTGTGTTCAAACTGCCTGCTGCTCTTCAAGCAATAATGTGATCATTACCGTTTTCCGTTAGCGAAATTCGGTATTTTTTTGTCACATCTTCCCTCTTCAATGCAGCTAAGCACAAGCTGCCAGCAGTAGAGGGACCCCATTATTCAAGCGGCTCTTCGTAAATAATACTCGCAGAAGCTTGAATACACTTTGCAGTACATGTAGAATAATAAAGTGGGCTCGGCGATACGCGTTCAGCCTCCCTCTTTACCCTCATGAAGTACCATAGGTTTAATGTTTTTATCTTGACTCGACAGTCTTAGCGGACGTGTTGACTGCTATTTTCTTTATCAATTTCACAGTCTGCACTCAGTACTCTATAATTTTACACGAGTGCAGACCCTAGCAATCTTGGCCCGCCGGGGTAACATGATTGATGAACTGTTTCTCCCGTCAAAGGGCGCCCGCCAAAGATTCGAGTCCCACCTTTTAAGTTTTTAACGGACAAAGATATTTTCCTTTGCGGTGGATATCGATGTCTACATCCATATTGGTCGATGTCGACTACATGTGGGCCAGCGCAGGTGAAGAACAAACAGTTGTTTGTTTTCTCAACTGCATACCTCTTGAAGTTTGCCCAGATGATTTTGTGTGGGCCGTGCTAGCAACATTTTCTGTACGCCATGCCACATAGGATAATGTAACAACGATTTCGGTTCGGCTTCAGTTGTTTTGATGATTTCCATAAATGACCTACCTGACTCATGACGACCTCTACCCATCTGTCTCGTAGGAGCTCGTCAGAGAGACTTTGAGGCTGACATCAATACCATCGGGCCAGCACAGTGTTGGGCCCGTCTTGTATTTCCCTTGGAAAGATGTTGATGAGATTTAGTCGACTGTCTAACACATCAGCATGGGGAATGAGCCCTGGCCGGAAGGGTACATGTATACAACTGCATCTCATTTTCAGGCCAGAGCACTGAGAATTTCACGGTTTTCAAACCAAGATTCTCGCTGCAACTTCATGGTGGCTCCATCCAGCCTTTTTTCCGCCTCACTCCTGGCCTCTGCTCAGATAGTAAAGGCGATATGACTGCGCCGTGGAAACAAAAATTGGTGGCATTCACCTATTTGCTTGTATCGGCCCAGTCCTCACTGCATTCAGTGCAGGCCATGACCTGACTTGTGCAGTACCTCCTGTGGTTCGGCGTTGCCAACCTCACAAGGGTGGGCCTCTAACAGATTGCAGCCTATCTCATTAACTGTCATGGCGAACATGTTACCCTGCCAGTTAACTGCCCACCACACGCATCTAGTGGCGGATTGGTGAGGCCCTGTGTGAGCATCATTCAAGTTCCATTAACATACTTGAGATGCTGGCAGTCTCGGAGAAACTGCGATGTTACTTCTATATTCGATGTTGTAGTTTACAGTTGTAGCCTGCACACCTGTGTACACTCACTTGAGAAATACCCCATTGGGGTTTTTCCCTCCTAGCTTCTTGCTTTCGACGGTCCTCCTCCCAAGCAAGGACAACTAACCACATGTCAATCTGACTTGTTTCATGAACTAGTTACAGATTTCCAGGCTAATGCCTGAGGGTTCCTGACCCTTATACATGGCACGCGAATACGATGGTGATGAAGACGGACAGGCTACTTATATACACCTTCCTGTCGTCTTTCTTTTATCCCTCGGGTACTTAATCAACTGGAGCAGAAGGATGACAAAGTCCTCTTCTTAACTCCATGTTGACCCCATTGATTGGTTTCCAGGGTTATAACCATTCCCTTGGTGCACCAGTGGGAGGTACAAATGTTCTTCCGAGCAGAACAATATTCGGTTCCAGCACAGCTTGGGTTTCCTTCACCCAGCTCCGCAGGAATTTCTCCTGATGTACTAGATGCTGTAAAGCTCTCCTGTTCACATCAGACCTTTCTCAAACAAGCTATGGCTTTTACAGCCTGTACTTGAGGGACTTCTAACATGACAGTAGATTACTTAATGTTAGTCAGTTGAACGTCCGTGTCAGTTAACTTAGGGGGATGTTTTAACACCCCTGAATTGCAGGACCTCTTCAACACCTTATCCAAAGGTGTTATAGGGATCTTTAGAGTTCTGTGAACCAGTGAACAATTTCACATCTGTTTCATTGGTTTTCTACGGTTGCCTTTTTTTTCTTCTTCTTTTTTGTAAGCAGTTGTTACTTCGTGGTATACATGTAGTAAAGAACTGTTTTCTGTATAATTGAGACGGACCACATCTGATGGGAACCGAGTGTGCCCATCCGATTCCTACGGGAGGATTTTTGTTTTTTAACCAAGAATGTCGGAGTCCTCTTTACCTCCGGACATCTTTGTTCTAGGCATCAAATCATTGTCCACTCCAGATGGAAAATGTTGGTGCCACTCATGACTTTGGCGTCTGATCCCTAAGGAAGGTTTTTTGAGCTAAGACGGTCGGAGTCCTCTTTGCCTCCGGATGTCTTTGTTCTGGGCATCAAATGATTCTTGTCCGTTTCAGACAGCGACTTTTTGTGCTGATCATGACTTGATGTCTGCTCCCTAAGGAGGGATTTATACTAAGGACTGTCAGAGCCCTCTGGGTCTCCGGACGTCTTTGTTTTCGGGCATCAAATCATTCTTGTCCAGACGCAGAATGTTTGGTGCCAATCATGACTTTAACGTCGTACATTAGCTGCACTGGGACGCTTTGAATCGGTCACTTGCAGTTACAAATGTATTTGTCACGACAACCCTGCCATACCAACAGGCTTCTCGCGACACGAATATGTCATGACAACCCTGCCATACAAGCAGGCTTCTCGTGACATGTTTTTTGTCATGACGACCCTGCCATACAGGCAGGCCTTTCATGACATGTAGTTATCATGGTGACCCCACCATACCTGCAGGCTCTCATGACAAGATTGCCTGAAGGTTGGCTACGGTCATCCATGAAACCACGGACGTATCAACGGCAGAATCCGTGTGATTGGTCCGCATGCACAAAATAAAAGGCAGAGCATGGGAGAACAGTGTTGAGGGCGACTGACTGAGCCCCACCATGTTCTCAAGACATTTTCAGACTGGGGACCTCCCCAGCATTGGTGTCTCCTAACTTTGATTCTTTATTGAGCTCTGTACATGTACATGTGCATATTATAGTGTCTATATGTACCATGTCATGATGTTTTGCCTTTCATGATAATTTTTATTTTGTGTGCCCCACCGAACTCTTATGTGTAGGTATCGGTGGGCTGTAATTCATTACGTGTGATTCCCAAAATCGGGGATCACATCTCTGTTGGCATGTTGAGGCTACCATTATGACTAATGTCTTTATCATGCCGACCTTTTTGGGCTGCCTTGTCCACCCACATGTGGAACGACGGGCCCATCCAGGGTTTACGCGTATTGTTACGTGCCCCTGTGAAAGCACAATAGCATCTCGCATGACCCACCTCCTTGACGGTGCTAGTCTATGCATAAGTAGTGTTGCTCTACAGGTAAGTAGAGTGAAGTAGACTCCCCCCCCACAGAAGTGTGGTTGGGGTCTACGAACGAATACTTACCTGTAGAGCATCCCTCCCCCCTACCCCACTCTTCTCGATGCCTTGGGTACTTTGTTGTATTCCGACTTAGCGCTCGAGAAAAGAGGACGCTCACGAGGCACGCATGCCGCGGGGTGTTATGGGTAGGGCGCCAGAGGGCGCTATTGTATACAACTCTTAGCGAAAATACCTGCCGGTAGGGGGAATATGCATAAGTAGTGTTGCTCTACAGGTAAGTATTCGTTCGTAGACCCCAACCACACTTCTGTGGGGGGGGATTTTAACCGCTGGCACATCGTACAAAAACTTAAACTACAGAGGCAATATTTCCCTATTTTAGGGAATGACAAATAACGTGAATTTCAAATAGTCTGGAGTAAGGTCACACATGTGTATAAAAGCAGCCAAAAATGCGGATGAGATTTCAGCTTATAAACTGAAGCAGGTGCAGAGAATTTGCACGAATAGAAAGTTTTTTTAAAAGTTGAACAAAGAAATTGACTGGAACAGGGTTTGAACCTTCAACCTCCAGATTGCCATTCCTGTGCTCTCTGGAAATGTTGACTGACTTGTGGTGCAAGGGCCCTGGAATTAAAACAATATTCAAGGGCCCAGTGACTTACACCAGCTGCATAATTAACTGGGAACATCCAGTTCATTATGTGGTGGCTGCCAGCGAATATGGGGCGATCCAAATCAACCTACATGTAAGTAAGAGATTGTGACTCATTTTTGTTGTATGGATATGTTTTTTGGGGTGCTGATACAACAGTAACTCTCTACACAAAATTCCTCAACCTCAGATTTAACATCGTGGATGAGCCCAAGATGACAAAGACGATGACTCTACTATTCTACACCGTTACCATGGCCATGGTAGTGACTGTGTTATCACTGCGTGAGGTAGGTTAATCATGAACAGAACCTCCCAATAATCTTAGGTAGCAGTGAGCATCTCAGAACTTGGAGTTACTTTTATGACCTCATTCCTGCAAGTACCGGTACAAGAGAATGAAAACCCATTTTTATGTTTCGAACTCAGTCCCATTAAGCTGACGAAATGTCATTCTTATGTTTTCTGACTCGTCTCAAGACAGCTGATTGTGATACCGATACTTTGTTAAAGATGCGCAAGATTTGATTTATGTAGGAACTATGGGGTAAAACACAACGACGATGACAAAACACATGACTAGAAAATGAAGATGGCGACATTGCTAAACAACCATGTCGCTGATTGGTGTTTCTGTAACATGATCTCTGATTGGTTGAGAATGATAGAGGGTGAAGGGTTACTAGAACTGTAGAAAAACAGCCAAAACCACAAGCTGTTTCAAAGACTGTTCAAAATGTCGAGACCTTATTCTCATCTCCGGCTCTCTTCAAAAACAACATTTCCTCACAAAAGGGATTTGTCTATGATATACCCACAAACCTACCTCCCTACAGTCACATACATGTACTTTTTTTTTTTAAGTAAATAAAAAACCCTGACTGGGCATGATATTGGCACCCTGGCAGGGTGATGGTCAATTTAAGAGGCAAAGACACTGCAGGAATGCAAAGTCAGCCTGAGCCATGATACTTTTTTTGATTTAAGTATTTAAAAGTCAATCCAGTCAGTAATTACCAGTTTTATTTGTTTCTTAAAATATATTTAAGGCCTCGACATTAACCACGGCCACTGCGGCCATTGGCCGCATGTTCTGCCGAGTTGGCCGCAAATGCCCCTTCAACATATGCACAGTTCGCGGCCAACTTGCTGGCCAGCATGACCTTTTTATTCACGACACATGTACTGATACGTATCAATTATTAATAAACATGTACAGAAACCAAAACCTAACCAAAAGGTAAAAAAATTTTTACAATCGCTAAATTCGGATAAAACCTCTGTTGTTTTTCCCCAATCGCGCTCACCAGCTGAAGTTCACCTTCGCATTAGACACTATGCGCATGCATGCCGCATAGCACATGTATCGTAATATGCATACATAATGCAGTGCAATCAGCACCTACACGTGCTTCCCGCATGGGGGTACAAATCTATGGCCCACTATATTAAATGTAGGCCTTTGCACTATGCAAAACCTATGGATTACTAAGTTGGCCTCGGTGCCCCTTCACTTGGCCTGGGTGCCCTTTGAAATTTTGATAATACGGTCAAAGTGGCCCGCCCCCCTTTTTCTTAATGTCGAGGCCTGTTAAATTACATTGAGTTTGATGTCTCATGTGCGATTTGGCGACTGCATGGTGTTGCATTTTTGAAGTTTGTGTTGGGTTTATTTGTAACATACCGTAGCCTTGTCAATTTGTTTAATTCTGGGACTTGTTCTTTTCTTTATAGTGTGAACAAACAGCAGGTGTGGTTCAGTTTCCTTACGTATGTTTGGATAACAGATTGGTCAACCCGTGTTTTCAAGGAAGGCACCTCAGGATAGCACAACCAGAATGTGTCGGGGAGGTGGACGAGGACAAGATGTGAGTAATTGCTCAGTCACATACCGTACAACTACATGTACCGGGCACTTGTAGTTTTCCAAAGATCCATCCACATAGCCCTGCCATATGACGTTTTGACAAATCAATGTTCGACGTGATTGCATAAATGATTCGCATGGCTCAAATGTGCGTTTGGCAGTGGGAGAGGCACACATGTTAATTGTTGCCCATGTGCACAGTGGGAAGGGCTTAATGGAACGAACGGTCTTTTGCATCATTTTGTCGCAGAGCTGACATACCGACGAATAAGCGGAAAGCCTGTTTCAAGTAATTTGCTTATGAGGTTGGACATTTTTCTGGGCATTGTATTTTACCCTTTGTGTTTCGGTAATAACCCTTTTGGTGTATATTCAAAATAAAAGAGGTAGTATCCATCAGGTCACTTATTTAATCAGAGAAGTTGTGCGATATGATTTTATTTGATCGTAAACGTACATGTCTTCATCAGTTTGTCAAATTACAAAAATCTCTAATAGCTGGTTGTTCTTCACACTGTTTGTATGCTATTCGTCAATTTGCCTGATCGCACGCGCGCGCGCGATCCGACAAACTGACGAATAACATTCGTTGGTACCTTGATGCATACCTTACATTAGCTGGTTACCAGCGCAATTCCGTCTTCGTCACTCTGTCAGATTATGGATTTGTTATTGTGACTGATTCACCACAGGGGGGCTCTGAATCTCAAAATCCAGACAAGAATTAAGAATTTTAGCATAAATACCGGTACTTGAAGGAGCAACCTTTATAAACCCCAAAAATAACAAAATCTCAAAATTGCCAAAATGGTCGATTCGCCACCCCCACATGCCCCAGTAAAATTGAGAAAAAAATCACTCAGGACTCGCACCCATGACCTCCGCCTTTCTTGTTCATACGTCTTACCACTCAACATGCTCAAGCACCGAGCTGTTTAAAAACAAGGGGATTAGTTTTACCTGAGATTTTTTGCAGTTTTTTAAGTTTCCTCATTCGAAATGAAAGACACTTCGCCACTCCTTTTTCAGCTGTGATAAATGCACAACTGGATTCATAGAAGGCAGCAACTTCTGCAATGAATGTAACCCGTGGACTGAGTGTGGGCCGGACGAAATGGTAAGTGACAACAAAAATCTTTTCACCCAGGATGAACCTATAGCTGCAGCAGAAACATGAGGCCCAACTTTTGATTTATGCAATTTATTTCTTATATTTTTGCACAGTGTTTGTTGATACACATATTTTGTTATAAAACCCGAATGCATTGCTTTATTATTCTCTTCACAGGAAGACCCAGAGAATCCACCCAGTGCAATAAGAGACCGTACTTGTATTCGGAATTCAGCTCCAACAGGTTAGACTAAAAAATATGTGAAGAAGAGAAACAAGTTTTGTAAATATATTTTTTTTATTGGGATATTCCAAAGTACCAGCTGCAACTGCGTGCTGGGCCAGTAAAAAGTTGCCCAAAGAGCGCGCCAGTCAACATTTGCGGCGGTTAAGATATGCGGCACATGAGTGTTTTCCAGTAAGCTTTTTATAGCTGTAAAGGGCTTTAACCTCCTAAAAGGATGTGAACGCTGAACCGCCGTCATCAAAAAAGTTACCGTCGACAAAAAGTAGCACCTCTCAATAATGCGCTGCAACTTTATGATAACAAAACACAACAGTTGTGTGTGTATGTGCATAGTTTTTTTTTTGTTTTCGAATATTTACACCAGCAAAAAGATATTTGAACGTTCAGCGGATGATCAAATATTCGAGTATTCGGTATATCTAGGACAGCACTAATTGCAAGTTATTTTGACTACTTTAATTCAGACTACTTATTCCAATAATAGTGTGTCTTTTTGCTTAAAAGCTTATTGAGATTGAAGCCCCATCTCTGCAGCATGTTTTTTTTCTAAATCAATTTTATCTTTAGTAGAATCCTCATCTCACAGCCCGCCCTCTGATGTCACCACTCAACCAACTTGCCCATCCTGCCCAGATTGCCCGACATTGGATCCATCAATCACCAGTACAGTGGATGGAGCAGAGGGGCCGGGTACATCCTACGTACCACTACCTGACAGTGACATTAGCACCGCTCCTCAAGGGGGTACATCAACCGTCGGCCCCCTGCCAAGTATATATTCCAGAATATTCCTTTCCTTTTCCTATACCTTTTTTTACCCCTCAGCCGAGAGGCTCGAGGGGTATTGTCATCGCCTACGGCGTCCGTCCGTATGTCTGTCAGGGCGTTCTGACCATACCACCCTTGTGGGGTGATGTTCCTTTCAGGACACATCACCCCACTTTTTTCACAATAGAAAAACATCACCCCAGAAGGGAATCTTTAGAAAAAGGGATAATGGGAACACAATGCTATCACCCCACAATTCCGTCTGGCTGGAACGGCCGTCTGTCCGTCCGGGCAGCTTAGTTTCCGGATGATAACTTAAGTTAGACATGTTGTTTGGGATTGTAACTTCGGTAGGGGGTTGCCCTTGGGAGTAGGCAAGTTGATTTGGTTTTGAGGTCAAAAGGTCAAAGGTCAAGGTCACCGTGGTGAGTTAAAGGTAAATGGTTTCCGGATGATAACTTGAGTTAGAAATGAGATTTTGGTGTCTAACATTGGTAGGGGGTTACCCTTGGGTACAGGCAAGTTGGGAATGGTTTGGGGGTCAAAGGTCAAGGTCACTGAGGTGAGTTAATGGTTTCTGCATAATAATTTCAGGTAGACATGATATTTGAGTTTAGAATGTCAGTTTGCCCTTTTCGACAAACTTCGGCTGAGGGGTTTCAACAGCAACTCTTTCTTTTTTTTGTGGAAGGGGGTGCAGTTTCAACGAGCTTGAGCCCATGTGCTTGTGGCGCTTAGTCTAGGGGATAGGCGTTGTTATGCACGGTTTGCAATGCGATAACCTGCGGCCGCGATAACCCGTTGCCATGTGAGGGCACTATCACGACCAACCAATATCTCCCACATACGGACTTGTCAGAACAACGTCTAGGGAAACTTGTATTGGTTGTGTAATGCGCTCTCACCTGTTTAGCCTATTACATGCAGCGCGGAATTTAAAAAAAAATTATATTAGTCCCAAGCAAACTCTCAAATTTCTTCCAGCGCAATAAAAGATGCAGCAAGGCCTTTGTGCAACTTCTTTTGTTATGTGTAGTATGTGTGGGACTGAAAACGGACCGTAATTGCCTGCAGAAGTCACGCATGTGCACTAGTTTTCTCCATTTGGGGGGGGGGGGGGGGGAGATTTCGGCATTTTCCCCATATGATGTTATGACAAGTCCGTGAGTGATATTGGTTGTGATAGCGCCCTCTTGTGGAAACGGGTTATCATGGCTGCAGGTTATCGCATATCAAACCATAACAACGTCTAGCCCCTAGACTAGTGGCACTGAGTATTTTACAGCATTTTTGGGAAAGAGCCCAAAATAGTACCTGGCACTCTGTTGTCTACCTAAAACAGCCAGCTCTTGAAACCCATTACAGCCAGCTATTGAAGGCAAGGCCGGAGCCATAACACAATTTTTGGGGCCCAAAACATTTTTTTGTGGGTCGAATGTATAGCTTTGTGGAAGTTGTTTTGGGTGCTATATGCAGTTTCTACCTTTGCTGCAACATTGCTGTGAAAAAAAATTTGTTTGGGGGGGGGGGGCATGGCCCCCTTTTCCTCACAGAGACAATACTGACCTGAATGATACATGAAGCTGTTGAAACTTTGAGATGATGTGTCATGAGTTTCTTTTATTTTTTTCATTTGTATTCCACAGGGGGTGTGGATAACAATGATATAGACGCCTGGAAAGGTACTGCCATTTCTTCTATCATTCTGAACATCATCCAGTTTATCATCTTGTGTGTGGTTGTATGGAGATGTTGCCAACGTAAACGTAAACGTATGCGTAAATGTCCAAAACACGAAGGTATGTTCCATTTTGTAAGTTTGCACAGAATGCTGAAGATTTGCTTAGCTGAAAAAAAAAGAAATGGACAAAGGTGGATACAATGAGAAGACAAGTGTAGTGGCAGGCTAGTGGATGCATAATGGTAACTGTGGCACCTGTAGTTAGGGAGAAAGGGGGGGTCCAAAGGGGGGTTCAAGTGCCACATTGTTTGTTAACAGTCGCCTACATGCATGATTTGAGAGCATCCAAGAGGAATATTAGCTCTGATTCGCTGGTTTCAATATAATATCTTTCATATAACAGTCATGCAACTACATGCGTCTCAAAATAAATATACAGATGTTAGCATGGCGTTCTTCGTATTTTAAAAAGCTCATTGTTAATGTGGCCCACCTTATTCCTGAACAATTTATAATTGAGGCTAAGGCATGTAAAGCTTGATATTATGAATATTCAAATGTTTTATTGAACACAAGTGCGATTAATCAAATACTAATATATTTGAAAATGCATAGCACTACTTCAGGCAATTCCCTTCTATTTAGGGAGTGTCTCAAAAGTTGGAACGCTCAGAAATTTCTTACTAGAATGGTGTGTCCCCAAACTGAAATTCTCTGGCGTTCCATTGGAAACAGGGAACATTCCGTTGTAACGACAAAATCTCTTTGCAACAGATTGCGCATTCCACCAGAACGTTCTGAGCATATTGCGATACGACGGCCCAGTTTCGAGTATTAACCCATTTTTCCGTCAGGAAAAATGGCATTCCCGGCAACCGTTTTATGTTCCGATGGAACCAACATCATTATGGCTTTCATTTTTGGATAATCTGACATTTTTTTTTTGCAGGTGCAGTAAAGTACAATAAACAGAATGGTTGTGATATAGAACAAGGTCGTCAGGCACAGCCGCCTGATCCAATACTTGATGCTGTAGATTGTCACCAAGAGCCACAGAACAATAACCCCGATTGCGGAGCTGCACTGGCAGGCATTGGCTCTGGCCAACCCTGTGTCTTGAATGTCGACTTGCCTCCAGAATCGTCTGAAGGAGCAACTACCAGAAGTCCTGAAGCTGCCCCCAACCTTGGGAACCCTACTGTCACAAAAGCCACACCTCCAAAAAGTAAGAGGATGCTTTTCTTATTGTCCTTCAATTCAAACTAAGGCAGTGTCCAAACCATGACTTTGTCTGCAGCTTCATATACCTTAAGTAGAGAACCCTTGGTTATTAGTGTGGCTCCTTTTATCAAATTAACTCTTTCGCTACGGCGAGCCGCTGACGGCGGCTCATACAAATTGTACAGGTCGTACGGAGAGCCGCTGGCAGCGGCTCATTTGCGTCGCTATGAATAAACAGGATGTCCCCATGACGTGGGCCATATCTACATAATTTATATCGTATAACCTCTGACCCTAGTCCGAGCCGCTGCCAGCGGCTCTCCGTCTGGCTGGGGTGCGCTTTTTGTTATTGTGAGCAGTTTGTTTACGGAGATACATTCAAAGATGGCGGCGCCCACATCGACGCTCGGCGGAATTTTCAGCTTTGAATTACGTCCAGTTGGGACGAAAAAGGTAAATTAAATTCCGTAGCGAAAGAGTTAATGTGTGGCCAAGGTTTGGAGTACTTTCACTTGCTTCCAACAGTGAACATTTCAAAGTATTCCACAACTAGAGACAAGCCAATACCTGAGCTTACAACCTGAGAGTTTGGAGTTTCGCCCCAAGATTTAAATGTTTATCCTCTTGAATGGGTCAGAACCTACATTTTGAAAATTTTGCATGCACTTTCTCTAAACTAACCAAAAGAAAGAGCAAATTGAAGAATTATTGCTTTTTTTTCCTTATAATTTTTATGTATGTTTCGTTTTGTGGCAAAAACCAAAACTGTCCTCAGTGAATGCCTACCGTGCAAGGGTTTGTTGCCCTCAGGAGATATCAAATTAAAAACTACAGTGTCCCATTATTTTCCTACAATGTACAGATCAGAGTTGTGGATACTTGCACAAAGTTTGGTTTTGTCAGAATTTCAATTCATGGCCCCTGTAAGAGGTACATGTATCTTCATCTTGGCTCTAGTTTACCAATAGTGATCTACGGGGCGAGTCAAAAAAAAATGAAACCAAAAGGTTGGGACTTTTGTTTTATTGAAGTTCTGCATGTAGCACTTTCAAAATCTAGGATATGAAAGCCCAGTTTACCAGCTTTCTTTTAGTAGAAAAATCATTCAAATCACTTGTGTACTTTTCAAGTTACGGAATTTTAAACACAACCACCGTTTTAAGGTTCTGTCCACGGATCACAAAAAAGGTGTGCGTTCTTTCAGCAAATCGAAAACAATTCACACACATCCCTATGTGATTTCTTTTAGTTTTGTTGAAAGAACACTATCTTTATTTGTGATCCGTGGACAGAACCTTAAAACGGTGGTTGTGTTTAAAATTCTGTAACTTGAAAAGTTCATGAGTGATTTGAATGATTCTTGTACTAAAAGAAAGCTTAGGAATTGGGCTTTCATATCCTACAGTTTGAAAATGCTACTACAGAACTTCCCTAAAACAATGGTCCCCCAACATTTGGTGTTTTTGTTTTACTCACCCTGTATAATTGGATCAAATGTCTGCCCCTACCAATCCACAGGCACTGATCAGCCAGAAGGGGCCAACAACATTTCATCGTCGAGTGAAGACGCTCCTTTCGCAGACGAAGTTTCTTTCGAAGACGAGACTTCGCCTTCGTGTGGCCCCCAGGAAGCAAGGGCTGACAACGATGCAGCTGGCAGCCGCAGAGTGTCATCATCTCCTCATCGGCGAAGGGCTCCCCCAGCGAGGGACGGCTACAGTGTCGGGGGGGATACACCAAGTCAGCAGCCGCTGTTGCGTGGCAACGACACAATAGATAGTGAAATTCCAACAAATGAGTTCCAGCAGAGCGTGCCTGCAACGAACATTACTAATCACATTGGAGACAGCGCAGAGTCCTTGCAGAGTCGGCCAAACGGCACTGCAAGGCATGAGGCACCTACTGCACCATACAGGAAAAGTCCAGCAACTTCACCTTCCTACAGTGCATTTGAGAAAGCAGAAGGTCCGTGTGGTAAGTCCTAAATGAAGTGCTATAGAGTACCAAAGAGTGATAACTCTGTCTTTCCTTCTGGTTCACACACTCATTTGCGTGTTGATTTCGAAAGGTCTTTCTCAAATGATGTCACTGCCTACAGATTGTCACGTTCATCGGCATTTTTGTGACGCACATTGGTTGTGCTGCACCGTATTTCAAAGACATTTCAAGCAAAATCTGTGCGTTTAGAACATTTTGCACACTGTGTGCACACTTACCTGATGGTGTTGAATATGCATTTGAATTTTCCTACGAAGATGGCGTCGTATGAGAGGGGTCTATTACTTAATCAGGGTGCGCAAACCAGAATATGCAGGAAAACTTGAGTGTTTTATACAGCTAATATCCATGAAGTCAAAATGGCAGTGTCTTCATTTTTATGTCAAAATGAGCGGCAGAGCTGTAAATACCACTCAAATGCAAGGTCACAATGTTGGGCCTATTGCTTATTTTGTTGATAATTTTTTTGCAAGTGTGGGGGAACTCATACTGCACAGTTAAATGTGAATTTTATTTTCAAGACCTTTTTACCGCATCTTGTGCATTGTACAAATGCACAAATATTTATAACTCTCGTGCAGATAGTTTTAATGTTGTTTAATAACACCAACAATCACTTGCGACAACAAGCTCAATATAAATGTTTCTTCAAATAGTACTCCATTCACTTAAAGGGAATATATAACATAGACACAATGTATGTATTTTTGGCTGTTATTTCCAAAATTGATTTGATTTGGGGGTTAGTATTTTGTAGAAAATATTGCTACATTGACTTGTTTAAAGTTGTGTGCTCCTAGATGCTTGAACAACTAAGAAAAACAATCATGTTCTTGTAGTCTGGATCCCTGATCCCACTTAACTTGATATGGAGCAATGTATAGAGGTTATATATTTGAGAATGCAGCGAAACTATTCTAGTTACTGTTTTTTCTTTACACTTTCAGAAATGACATCGATCTGTAGTGAATGGCATATTGACTATGTCAAGGACAACATCAACATCAAAACTCACGTAGATTTCTTTGCCAAGCTTGGTTTGAGCAAAAAGGGCTATGAAACAACGATGTATGACAACAGGAATGAGAAAACCCGGGAACAGGTCAGGCACGTTCTCCTTGATGATTTCATTCAAAACGAACACAATCCTTCCATCGACAGACTTCTTTCTGCATTGGAAAGGAGTGGTAACAATGATGTCAGCAGGGGGTTCAAGGTAAAATTCAGTGTCACCAGCAGTGCAGGATCTTAAAGTCATCACATGGTTGCAGTGCTGTACCGACTCCATATAGTCCATCACAAGTAACAAGGGATAAACATTCCGCCCCCCCCCCTAAGATCTCGGCACATGCATAGAGCAACTCTTCATGAACATACCCAAGAAATTTCATGACTAAAGGTCAAACGGTCTTGCAGCCAGTGCAGTGTGCATGGTGCAGTATGCATGGGGACTGCTGAGAGAGTGGTAGAGCCTCCCTCCTTGAGAAAGACTGCTGCAAGGAACCATTAAAGCTGGCCAGCTTTTGAAACTTGACAAAAGCTGTGCAAAGCACAGGCACTGTGCAGGAACTGCAAGGACACTGTCTGGCAGCCAGTGCAGTGTGCATGGTGCAGTATGCATGGGGACTGCTGAGAGAGTGGTAGAGCCTCCCTCCTTGAGAAAGACTGCTGCAAGGAACCATTAAAGCTGGCCAGCTTTTGAAACTTGACAAAAGCTGTGCAAAGCACAGGCACTGTGCAGGAACTGCAAGGACACTGTCTGGCAGCCAGTGCAGTGTGCATGGTGCAGTATGCATGGGGACTGCTGAGAGTGTGGTAGAGCCTCCCTCCTTGAGAAAGACTGCTGCAAGGAACCATTAAAACTGGCCAGCTTTTGAAACTTGACAAAAGCTGTGCAAAGCACAGGCACTGTGCAGGAACTGCAAGGACACTGTCTGGCAGCCAGTGCAGTGTGCATGGTGCAGTGTGCTTGGGGACTGCTGAGAGTGTGGTAGAGCCTCCCTCCTTGAGAAAGACTGCTGCAAGGAACCGTTAAAGCTGGCCGGCATTTGATACTTGGAAAAGCTGTGCAAAGAACAGGCACTGTGCAGGAACTGCAAGGACACTGTCTGGCAGCCAGTGCAGTGTGCATGGTGCAGTATGCATGGGGACTGCTGAGAGTGTGGTAGAGCCTCCCTCCTTGAGAAAGACTGCTGCAAGGAACCATTAAAACTGGCCAGCTTTTGAAACTTGACAAAAGCTGTGCAAAGCACAGGCACTGTGCAGGAACTGCAAGGACACTGTCTGGCAGCCAGTGCAGTGTGCATGGTGCAGTATGCATGGGGACTGCTGAGAGTGTGGTAGAGCCTCCCTCCTTGAGAAAGACTGCTGCAAGGAACCATTAAAACTGGCCAGCTTTTGAAACTTGGAAAAGCTGTGCAAAGAACAGGCACTGTGCAGGAACTGCAAGCTGTGTTGTGTGTGTTGCAATGGAGGCAGATGAGAGTGTAGTAGAGCCTCCCTTCTTGAGAAACACCCGGTACTGCTGCAAGGAACCATTAAAGCTGGCCAAGAGTACAACTCAATGGGGCCGTGTCGTAAGTCCAAAGCCTCATAAGTCCGACGCCTCGTAAGTTCAATTTCAGCATTATGAGGTGTCGGATTTATGAGGCATCAAACTTATGTATTCCGCCTCATAGTTCCAATGCCTTATAGGTCTGGCGCCTCATATCCAACGTTGGACAATTGAGACGCCGGACCTCTGAGTTGTAGGCCTATTCACCCGCTTCTGTGTTGTATTCGTCAGCTCAATTATTCAAACAGCCACTACTGCCACATGGCACGGCTTAATATCCATATTTTGTCGGTATGCAGGGATTGAACAATTTGATTCCTGCAAAAGTGTTTCATTTTGAAAGAGTAAAAAACTGCTCGGCAAAACTATTTGGCGGCATATCAAATTGATGTACATGTACTGCTGTTCGATATATGAAAGCTTGATAGATGCAGTATGATACGTTGACTTAATATACAACATTTAAAACATTTAGCAAAATCTTCATGTCTCACTCAAAATGCTTAAACATTATTTTTGCCAAATGCTTAAACATTTAGCTACCACTCAACAAAGGCTACATGTACATGTACCTGCCTTATAAAGTACAAGTGAGCCTTATTGCGGAGAGGCATGGAAAAAGATTCAAAACTTCAAATAAAATATGTTCTGTTCTGGTTAAATCAATAGATAATTGGCTATCGTTAAAAAAATATGAAATTTAATGTGATCAAGAACTGAGTTGCTGCAAATGCTTGATAAATTACATGCAAAGTTAACAGGCAATCTTTAGTTGGGGCTAAAATAAAACTGAATGTACATGTAGGGTCAAATTTCAAATTTAAGTTTCATTTACATGTAAATGGTTGGGAATATTTGTGAACTACATGTACATGTAGTTGTTAGTGTTTTAGACGTCTGAAGTACTTACGTTTTGTTTTTGTGCTTTGTTCAAAGTTTATCTGACTGAGATTTTCATTCAAAAGAGGTATCCATGTTTATCGTGTTTTATGTGGAATTTCAACTTTCCAGGTGAAAAATATTCTCTTGCTGATAACACGCAAGAATATGGGATCATTGTCATCAGCATGTTGTAGAAAACCTAAAAATGTACCCGGTAGTCCTCTTCATGTTTTTGAGAGTAACATACCTGAGACTACATCGAGCTAATAAATTAAGATTTTATTTCATTATTCTATTGTTTACATCTTTAAAAATGTAGGGAATGATATGTACATGAATGCCCTGTTTGTATTTACTCAGAAACTGAAACGAACTAAAATAGCCTGAAATAAAAGTAGCATTCATGTAGTTACATTTGTAAATGATGGGTTGCCATGGTGATGAGAGTTACTTCATAAAGTGCCCTCTCCCTCTTGTTTGCCTTGCCCTGACCACATATGGCAGAACTGCATTTATTTTGCATATGTGTCCAATATTAAACTCGCCTGTAAATTGCCTTTCTTTAAGTTATTACTAGTTTTTTTTGGAAGAGCTTACATGTGACCTGCCATATCATAATTAGATTTAACCCTAATCTCTAACTTGTCAAGTTATACATAATGTTAAAGCGCAAATCATGAGTTTTCCAGTGATACCAAATTTGTTTAAATGTAACTTAATTTAATCCAAAGATACATGTATGTTGCAGGAACTTCAATAGTGCCTCGCCGAACATCGTCAACCGCATTTCGAGAAAAACAACTTTAAAAAAACACCACGATACGCATTAATTGTGCCGCCAACGGCAGTGAAAAATGTTCTTCAGTTTTCCATTTGGGGGGACATTTATTCCCCAAAAAAATACACGATGTGAATCTGTGATACCTTGGCTAATCAAAACCACAAAATACCCAAAATAGATGTTATCATGATTTTTTCACGTATATCCGACTTCAGGTGCCAATTACTCAAAACAATATTTTTGGGGGACATTATCATTTTGCAACAGCAGGTCACATATTTGCACTATTTTCTGTTAAATACATGTACAATGTATATTTATAACAATATTAAAGTTTAAAAACTGTCTGAATGCTGCACAGTGAACTAATAGATTGTACAGGTATGTGTTGGACTTGACCTACAATGTATGTGCAACTGTTACAGTTACCTGTTTGTTGAAAACTCATTTACATTTTCAAAAAGTGAATGGTGCAAGAAGTGCTGTTGAGTTCAGGTTAAGTCATTCGTTATAATATTGAGTTATGAGGTTAATTGAGGAAATGTTTTCTCCTATTTGTAAAGATTATCAACACTGGTTGGTTTGTTAGCCATTTAGCCACCCCACTCATCTACTGGTACTTGTCCCCCCAACCATCTGCTGGCCCCCCCCCCCCAAAGTAAGCTTAGTCACAGACAAGGATCCCTAGACATAGTGAGATGCATGTACTACAGTATTGTCAAATTGCATACACACGAATAATGGAATGGAACAGTACCTACATGTACTAGCAGAAGTAGTCATAGGGTCAAACCCAAATTACTATCCCCTCCAGTCTTTCTTTGAAATATATTTAATTGCAATAGGCCTAATTGACTTAAAGGAAAATATGACTGTTATATATTGTCTGCTTTGAAAGCATGCTTATTGTTGATGACTGCTTTTAGATTTTTTTTTTTTTTTACATGTATAGAGTTTAAATTTGGCCATATGAAATAGAAAGTGAGGTACATGTGAACACTTTTGTTTTGGAACTCCGAGTAGAAATGAAAGCAATGAAATAGCAAATAAGGTTTATAAACCAAACCCTTCCAAAGAGATCTTCTAAATCAGGGCTGTAGCCAGCCTGCTGGAAGGGGAGGGTCGTTTCTACCACAAAGTGTGTCTTTTCACCATAATTCGAACCTTTTTACCATAAAGTGAACCTTTTCATGTGTAATGAACAGTTGATTACGCACACAATTGCAAGGAAAAGGGGGACCTGCAGCCGATTCGACCCCCCCCCCCCTGTAAATGATAATACATGTATAAAACAAAACAACTAGAGTATGTACCTTTCATTTCCTGGACAGAAGTTGAGTGGTTTATCGAGGATGTGATCCAAGGCCAACAAATAGTGAAGTAGCTTTTTATAGAGAAAGAAGCTTGTGAAGCATATAGTTTGTAAATTAGAAACGAAGTTGTTTTAGCAAAGCTGCTGTATATTTGCCAAAGGAAAACAAATCAAGATAGCTTGAAATTAATTTGAATTTATTTTTGATGTATACATTCCGGTATTTGTGGCAACTACCGGTACATGTTGTATTTCTGTGTATGGGGATTCGGAAGAGAGGGGCATTAATTCTGTCTGACAGAGGAGGAAAACTCCACTTTTTTCCTAAAGTGGAATTTTGAAGGAAAGTTGTTTGTGGAAAAACATCATAGCCATAAGGCCAAAAAAAAAAATAAGTCGGTCTCTGGTCAGCACGCACGTCGATTTTAATCATGCGCGTCAAAGGGTTGCGCGGTAGCTCCAACAGCGCCCTCTATTTCCGCACCTCCTCAATTTTTTTTACCAAAGAGCACCAAGGAATGGGAAATTGTACCAAGGCAAATGATCGAAAGCACCAAGGCTAATTATGGAGGACACCAATGTACATAAGGTCACCAAAAAAGCAAAATAGTACCCACCTTGTCTGTACAATCCAAGCTTGAAAAAAAAAAAAAAGCCGCGTGGCCGCGTCAATTCCGGAACTTTGGTCTGACCAGAGACTGAATATTTTTTTTTTTTGGCCTAACATACATGTAAAAGCAATTGCAAGCTAGGTTCAATTTTAGGTGCTGCACTTTAAAAAGTGCTCCACTGAGTCTGCAATGATTGGCCAACAAAGTGCCTTGGATGTGTTTTTCCCCCAAATTTTGAAAGCAATTGTAAAGTTCTAGTTAAAGGGAATATACAACATTTGCAAACATCGAAAAATAAAATTACCAAGGTTTTATCAAATACCTTTCTAGGATGTCAGTAAATGACAGTCAAAAGCATCCTGTAAAATTATGGCACCTGGTGTGAAATCTTTTTCAAGAAAATTGTATTTTTGTATAAATTTCCAACAGTGGTCGGCCGACCACCGTTGGAAAAACCTAACTATTTTTCAACTACCAGTACTGCTCTAACTTCACCATTTTTCCAGTCCAAATTTTGTTTGCTATTGGTTACATGTTCATGAACAGGTGCAGGCCAGTTAGACTGGTTCCCTTACCTTACAAATTTCTGGCATTTATAAATTGATCCATTTTATCTTTAGTGGGGTCAGGGAACCAGACTACTCCACCGTTGTTGTTTTTCTTGGTTTTCCAGCATTTTCGAACACAAAACCTCAAACATATCAGTGGAACAATATTTGATCTATCATAAACCCCTGAAATTGTTCATTTCTGAGAATTACAGCAAAAACCAATGATGTACATTCCCTTTAAGGCATATACCTTTTCCGAAAGTATACACAGAAATAATGTAATTTGTAAACTGAAGATATTTTTCAGTTGTATATATTGGTACAGTAAATGATGATTGTTGATAAATTTGATGCAAATATGTAATTTTAAAAAAATGTACTAAAACAATTTTACTGATGAGAAATGTTATTATTTTTTGAAAAAGTTCTTCACTTTCCATATTTAAATATTTTTTAAAATTTGGATATGGCATACAGAAAGAAAATTACATTTTTAATAATGAGGCTACCATTTAATAATGATGCTATCGTTGATGTTTTTTTTTCAAAAATAAAAATTTGATGCAAATTACAGCGGCAGTGCCTCATTAATAGCACATGTTTTCTTTCTATTTTTGTCAACCCCCCCCCCCTTCCAATTTGTCTTGCGATTACCTCTGCCCCCCCCCCCGAACCCAAAACCAGGATACTCCTTGGTTGCCTGATATGTGCATATGAATTGATAAACAAATCATCCTATCATTTTGGAAAACATACCTGTTAAGATTTTTTTTATGTTTTACTTATTTCATTTCTTGAAATCTTTTTACTGATTTTTACATATTATGTAAATATATGTGCGTGTCAAAGCTCTGCCCAATTAACAGAAATTCGCAATTAACGATAACCATTCTGGGATAATTACAGCGCTAGCAGTAAGTAGTACACAATTGCTCAGTTATGGGATGTTTCATCAGTGAGCTCGGGGACAATTTCACGGTACTGCTAAGCACAAACATTTGCTTAGCACAAAAAAAATTCTGGCTTATAAAAGCAGGTTACCAGCCAAACCTGCACTTGATGTTCGTCTACGGTGATTAGTATCCAGCTGTTTTGCTTAGCGTGAAAGTCACATGGAGTTTTGGCTGATAACCTGCTTTTATAAGCCAGACTTTTTTGTGCTGAGCATTTTTGTTTTGCTTAGCAGCGACGTGAAATTGGCCCCTGGTAAAACTTGCCAAGCATCAACTTAAACATTTGTGATTTGGTTTGTGTTTTCCCCATGTTATTTCGCTTATGTTTGGTTTAGCAGCTATGAAATGGGACCAAGTCTGCATGAGCTGGCCACAAACATGAATTATTCAAAACATGTATTTGTGGCTCGGACTGTTGAGGCTCAATATGTTCAAATTGTGAGTTGCAAAATAAATGTTAATTTTGGGGAACAGGCACAGGTGAATTTCAAGTTGGTGTGATTTTTGTATAGGATCGTAAAACCACCCATGAATGCACCCTTTACCATCAAAGGTTTTTTGTTGGGGGGCATGATTGGGACTAAAAAATACATTCATTGGCCTAATCTAGATCAATACGTTCGGGAAATTAATTTGTTCTGTGATGTGAAAAAGGGATAATAACATGTATTTTTAAGCGCATGTATATTAATGCTCCCGCTTTGCAAGGCGCTATAGCTATATCACTGGGCCAATCATTGAAAGATTTTAAAGCCAATCACGGTGTCACATGAAAATCCGTCTCCTATGAAAATCGGACCCTTTTCCCTATTATTGGTTAATCCCTCTCACGTGACCGGTCACTTTCCTAATTACCATACTTACGCATGCGCGGTATTACCAATGAGTCCGAATTTCATAGAAACGTAAATTCACGCTACACCGGCACCTGGAAGTATGTGATGCTGCCATTTTGCTGCAAAGCAGCTAAAATCAATCACACAATCGCAGTGTCATGCACTGGTGCACTTGCTGAACGATTACAGGGGGTCGTTGATGAAAAGCGCGCAAAAGCGGTCCTACTAAAGCGCGTCAACAAGCGTCAACAAGCGTCAACAAGCGTCAATGGTCGTCAACGAGCGTCAACAAATTTTGTATAGGCTTTTGAACATTAAAAACAGCTTTATATGGTAGAAAAAGCAATAAAGAACATCTTCTGAATGTCAATTAAAGTTAAAATTATCTTAAAACTTGTTTTTTTGAACGCGAAATATACGTCGAATCTTGTTTGGATGGCGCTGTAGACTTTGCGTATGCGTAGTACGGCTAGCTCACATAAACAAGATGGCGGTCAACTTTTATCGACACATTCGGCGTACATTTCGCGTTCAAAAAACCAAGTCTTAAAATAATTTTAACTTTAATTGATATGCAGAAGATGTTTATTATTGCTTTTTCTACCATATAAAGCTGTTTTTATTGTTCAAAGGCCTATACAAAATTTGTTGACGCGCACTTAACGATTACTACAACTTGTTGACGCTTGTTGACGCGCTTTAGTAGTATACCCCTCGAGAGTGATCAGCGCGCCCAGTACAAGGAAGTCATCTTCGCCACACTTTGCAAAGTTAAAGTCTTAAGAGTAAGAGAGCTAGAAGTGATCATCTGTGTTTAGTAACCCTCTAAACGTTGCCACAACATCCAGACAACGCAGTTATCAGCAGCAGCAACAACATGGCAGAGTAAGAATATCTTTTGGACCATTTGGGGTAGCCTATAGTTCGTGTAATTCAACTTGAATTTCGGGGGTTACGTTTTTGCTGGACTCGTTTTTGGGAAACTATGCGGGTTTAGTTTTCAAGGAAGTCGTAATGCATGCCGCTGTCGAGCGCAATTTGAGTCCCCCGCGCAAGTTTAAACTTGCGCGCGCAAGTTCAAACTTGCGCGCGCAAGTTCAAACTTGCGCGAGGGACTCCTGAAGCATGCAAATTACACCGCGCCATTTTAATTTGCGTGCGCAAGTTTAAGCTTGCGCAAAGGTGATCGCAACCTTCTTTTGCGGGCGGGATTTTCATTGACATGATTGATGAAGAATTTTTTTTCTTCAAAACACGAGTAGGGCCTACATGGAGAAATAATGGAATAAATGAATGAATAAAGAAATAAATAAAAAGGGGAATTCAATAAGCGTCAATGAAAAGAAACATTGAGATTTAGCAGTGCTTATCAGAGAAGTTGTTTAACTTTAAGGGTACGTGGGGGAGGGGCCAGGGAGGGGACCGAGAAAGCAATAAAAAAAAGCACACTACTAGCGGCGATTGCTTGGAAAGTGTACTGAAGTTGTTCAAAAATGGAGACCAGCTTGTTACAACTGATAATGTAGTAACCAATGTATAATGTATCACCAACCGATAATGTATCACAAATTGACCGATATTGTATCACTAACGGATAATGTAGCAACAATTGACTGATAGTGTAGTAAAATTTGTATCCGATAATGTATCACGTGTTGACGGATAATGTAACTACAAATTAACTGTATCCGATAATGTATCATCACGGAACGGATACTGTATCAACTGCAGTGTTGTAGGTCTCGAGACCGGTCTCGGTCTCAAGACCGGTCTCCAGACCACTTTTTGCTGGTCTCGGTCTCGGTCTCGGAAGCTGTGGTCTCGGTCTTGGTCTCGGTCTCGGTCCCCTTTGGTCTCGATATTTTGGCTGGTCTCGGGTCGAGACCGGCAATATGTAGCTTTTACAGCTCGATCGATTACTTTGTGTTCACTTCGTTCAGTACCGTTGATAGTTAAAACGTTTGCTAGCCCGTAGATCAAGTTTGTTATATATCGTGGTCGGTTTGGACTCGACTGCACGTTGGAAAGTCCCAAAAGTACATGTAAAGCTGCAGCAGTACCAGTCACTAAACGATTTGGAACAAGTTCGGCATTTATCTGTTGTGTCAGGCACATAAACAAAGTATAAACTTGTAACAATTTATGCAATAAGGGCCTGCCATTTTCGGGGATTGTGTAGTTTAGCCCACCCCTGTGGGCGTAATCACTTACATTTTGTATTCTGAATGAGGTGCTTCAAATTAGTTATATTTTCGACCCCACACAAAAGTAAATTTTTCTACCTGATTTTCCAGCATTGAACTCACACACTCTTACCAGTTACCACTCACTGTTGCCATGAGAGTGTATGATGAGACCCCATTTTCTGGCTGCTCATTTTGAAGTATCCCATTATTCCTCAAAAATTAAAATCCTGTTCAGAAAAAAATTTAAAATCCATATCTGGCACATTCTGGCTACCACCTCGCAACTTGTGGGTCTACATATACAAGTCCACATTCTATGACAGAAATTTTTAAAATTAATTCAACATTTTCTGGCTCCCATTTTTTAAAATCAAGTACACAAGTCTTGTTAGAAGTTAAGTCCTATATTTATTTTAGGAAAAAAGGCACAATGTAAAATTAAAATTGCATCTTTAAATATCCGTTAGAAGTCATAGCTGAAACCAAGGGGTGACTGTGGAGTTTAGGATTCAAGTTCCTATAACAGATGAAATTTTTGCCTTTAACTTTTTACTTTTGTCACGATTGGGTGCAGACAACATGTCAAAGCCCATATTTCTTAAGTGTAACTACTTTTTGCTCAAGTAGGGTGTCATGTATCAATTTGTCAACACTGCCACTGGTCAAAAGTTTGGTCTGTAATCTTTGTGAATAGAAAGGTTACAACTTTCAACTATAATAACATGTCTTTTCTAAAATTTTATTTCGACTATTGTTATTTATTATCAGCGGTCTCGGTCTCGGTCTCGGTCTCGGACCATATTGGTCTCGGTCTCGGTTCCGCCTTGAAGGGGCTGGTCTCGGTCTCGGTCTCGGTCTCGAATCTTCAGGTCTCGGTCTTGGTCTCGGTCTCGGACTATTCGGTCTCGACTACAACACTGATCAACTGATAATGTATCAAAAATCAACCGATAATGTATCAGTATATTTGGAAAAGGTGGAAATAGGCCCCTATTGCAAATTAATTAAAGTCTAATAAGTGCCATTTCTATGATGAGTCCCCACTCGGGAAAGTTTATCATTTAGTTTTTTGTTTTTTAATTTTGGAGGGAGTTGCTCTTGTTTGGAGATGCTCTTGTTTGGAGATGCTCTACTTCCAAGTGGGCCTAGGCTAGTGGCGTATCCAGCTTTTGATGTCGGGGGGAACCGCACTCGCACATCCGCGCCGAAATTAATGTGGACAAGTTCTTTTCTCCGGACACTTGGCCTCCGTATGGGCTCCGTGCTCTAACACAAGAGGGCACGTTTTACCACTTTTGAGAGCACCATGGTCGTACAGGACCATTGATCTCCGTATGGAGATCAATGGACGGGACACAGCATGTGCGAACTGTACTGTACTGGTTCGCGTGCAAAGTTCCACACCACTTCAAGTGCCAGAATGTGCCAAGGCTATTAGCCGCAGTGTCTGCGCATGATCGTCAGGCAACGTCAGCGCGTTGGTCCAGTCAGTTGCCGTGTCACACGCAGCTCCTCTATTTTTTCGTCCACACAACTGATAGCAACGCTAGGCCAGCGAGCGATGGCCGTAAAAAGGGCTTCAGAAAATGCGCAATTTTCATGGCAAACCATAACCGATCCAAACAAACAAAGTTGTTTTAAAGCTATAGTCCATCATTTGTAATTAGTGCATTTTGTTCGTTTGAAGCAACAAAAGTGTTCAAAATCTAATGAATGATACTGAACAACTTACTTGATGAAGTTTCAGCTCAGCTTCAGCTTCATATTCCGAGAAAAACAGCATTCTAGGATCTCAATTTAAAATCAAAAGTTGCTAAATCATATTTCGAATTGTTTTGAATTGCAACTTTACGCGATGTTGCGCACTGATCCAACGAATTATAGCAACCGCGCGCGCCTGTGCGTCGTTCGAATGCTTGTGCGTGCTGCGCCGAATAACAAAACGAACAACTAATTTAAATTTTCCTTCTTTTGCCTTCTTTCATGTCTTTCGTTGATTTCTTCAAAATGAGAGCTTGCTAGAAAGGATCATTTCACAGGGAGTTTAGTCCCCTTACTATCTTTCAACCAGTATGTTTTTCAACAATAATTACGCCGGTTACTTTTTTGGATAGCTGCAAATGATGGACTCGGGCTTTAAGTAGTTAAAGACCTACATGTACTTCATACATATCTATCAAGGTATTTTTTTTTTCTAAAAAAAGGGATTTCGATGCATTTTGACGATATATTATTTCACGGACAAATCGACTAAAAATTAGGTCATGAAATTTTCGGGGTTTTTTTTCGAGAACGACGAAAGTCTCCCAAATGTTGAGGTAATCAAACGAAAGAGTGAACCTTTATCTACAAAAAATCTCGTGAACGTGATGCCGTTAATATTTTAAGAATTCGATGTACACCTAATGTTTCCACCAACGTCCATTTTTCACAACGCGAAAAGATCGTTGCCATTGTAAAGCATAGAGCGAGGAACCCAAACACGGTGTGACCTTGTGACCCATACGCCTAATGATTGGTCGAGCTCCAGTATGGGCCTGCTTAATATTCATAAGTCATTCATTGCACGTTCGCACGTGCCATTCACAACGTTTTCAGGCCAACGTACATTTTGTACGTCGGCGTACATGTTTACATTCGTTTACACGCGTACATGTGATTGAAAATCATGAAATCCCGCAAAAGTCTTCATTTTTCAACCGGCGATTCGGAGCAAACATTAGAAGCACGTGTTTCACATGAAAATGAATATACTTTCCTCTATCTACTTGGCCTTGCCATTTGTTTCGGCCGTTTTTAAGAATCTAATGTACTCCTAAAAACTATCGGCCCTCGATTTTGTTTTTAAAATATGATTTTGTTTGACAGGCCATAACAACACTTTAAATTTGTCAAAAGCAGTTATTTTTGTTATCAAAATAGAGCACACGATTTCAACTTTTCACTCATTTAGCCATCTTGGCCAAACAGTGCATGTATCGAGGCACTTTTTGTGTTTTTCTGTACATGTAGTCTCGAATAAATCTCGTAAAATCTCGCGTACGCTTTTAGGCCATGCGTGCGTGACCTCAGGACGAGAAACTGAGGTCAAACAGGGCTGTGTGCGTGACACGGCTACTGACTGGGTCTCCCAGACTATTCGCTCCCCCAATAACTTTGCATCATTCAAAATACGCAGTGGATGGACCGGGAACCAGTCTGGGTCCTCCCCCAACTCTCCGTTTCTGGCCGTTGGAGGGCACTTGTGCACGGAGCCCATAGCTCCATGGTAAAATCAAAAACTGAGGGGGGGGGGGGGGGGGGTCGTGCCATATTTTCAACGGGGAGTGCTGATAAAATCCTACAATCATGTACACTATATTACTGTACCGTACAATTGCCCAAGCTTTTGTTTTAAGGGGGGGGGGGGGGGGCACCATTCGCATGTGACGTCATTTGTTATTTGTCCACCCACTGACTTCAGTTTGTTGAACCCATACAGTTTGCAGTCCAAACGTCACGAAAATTCCTGGGTCCGCCATTGCAACAGTGGCTTAAATCTGTGCCGGGGGATGGGGGATAGCTATTATAAATTTTTTTTTTTTAAATCCCAGCCGTAAAATTCAAAATAAGGGGGGGGGGGACATGACACTTGGGGCGCTGTTCATGATACAGATGTATCAGCGCATTTCAAGCTTTTTGTCCTTTTCTCCCTTTCTCAGTAGGCCCCCTACTATTTAATACATTTCGGCGGTTGGAAAGTTTGAAAAGTACCTCAAAATCTGCCTTTTTTCTCTAAATACGAAATAATGGGGGGGAGGGGAGGGGTGATCCAATAGCCCAGACCCCCCTCCCCGGTCAAAAATTGGGGCAGGATATATAGGACATAAAACAAACATTTGTGTACACCTTTTCCCCATCTTGTTACATTATCGGTTGATTTTGATACTTTATCGGTTGATACAGTATCCGTTCCGTGGTGATACATTATCGGATACAGTTATTTTGTAGTTACATTATCGTCGACACGTGATACATTATCGGATACAAATTTTACTACACTAGTATCAGTCAATTGTTGCTACATTATCGGTTAGTGATACAATATCGGTCAATTTGTGATACATTATTGGTTGGTGATATGTTATCCGTCGGTTACTACATTATCAGTTGTAACACGGCTTCAAGTTTTTTGCTTTGTAAACCTAATTAGCATTTTATTTATACTCTTGAATGTAAATAAATTATAATTTCCTAGGTGGTGTAACCCGCTGTTAACATTAAAAAGAATGATTATGATCCCTTCAATTGTTCAAGTTTTGACATTATACTAATCATTTACATTATTTTTAAAATGCTTATGTATTCTACAATTAAAAAAGTACTTACTCTTAAAAAAATACTAATTAATTTAACAATTAATAAATTGTACGGTACAATAATTCATATTGTTTTTAGAAATACTTGCATAACATTTCGAGCGCTGTGTACACTTCAAAAATGCATACTTTGAAGAAAAAAAATGAATGCATTACTAATTTAATTAATTAATTAAATGTATTACTTTAACAATTTTTTTTATTGCAGGCTCAATAATTCATATTAAAAAATGTTTACAACTTAAAAACGCTATGCATATAAAATGGTAATTATTTTAAAAAGTAAAAAATTTGCAAATGATTTATTTAATGAATTTAATCAAATGTTAAAAAAAAGGCATTAAGGCATTGTCTCCCGCAGCTCAGTGATGCTATTAAATCGGAGAAAAAAATCTGCTTTAAAAATAATGTTACATATCTGCATGAGTATACCGAGGGGCAAAATAGTTTAGCGGCTCTGTATGTGTGGCCGAGAAAATCTATGCAGTGCGCAAGTTTAAACTTGCGTGCGCAATTTGTAGCAAGGAAATGAATGCGCGCGCAAGTTTTAACTTGCGCGCGCAAGTTAGAACTTGCGCGGGGGACTCACTTTGCGCTCGACACCATTAAGTTAGGTGTGCCTTTATTTCCGGGTTTGTTCATGGTCATGATGGTAGACGGATCCATGCATGATGATATGATGTAGGCTAGTACTAGCATGATTAGTAGTAGTACTACTAGTATTAGCCCGACTGGTCTGGCCGTACTACAGAGCTTGCGATAGTACTGTACGGCCAGACGCAGTCGGGCTATACTAGTATGTGTTACGCCCAAACTATAATTGGGAGTGTCCCAACTATAGTGCGGCAGTTTGGTCGCACTAACTATAGTTAGGACTGGAGTTGCGCCGGACGCTCGATGGTTCCGCGGCCACGCTGGCACCGGCATGTATTCGTCATGCATGCATGCCACAGGGCTGGCGGCCCATGTGGTACTGCCTAGTCATGCTAGTTGGATGAGTTGTCCAGCTGGGTTTTATAGTCCAGCAACATTTTTATGCAAAATTTCAAGATTGGCTTACGTGGCCCAGCTTTAGATGGCCCCACCCATAGCTAATTTCATTGGTCCCAAGTAAAGTCGGACATGTATCACAGCTGTAGTGTAGGGAATGTTTTATAGTCGTACATCAATGTAAACTATAGTTGGGTCTTGGGACCGCAAAATAAAAATATTAGAGTGGCCCAACTATACATAGGCCCCACCCACATAGGCCCCAACTACAGTTGGGACCGTCCTAACTATAGTTGGGACGATCCCAACTATAGTTGGGACCAATACCAAAGTTGGGGCGTAACAGTAGTACTAGTAGGGACAGGTTTTACGTTTTCCTTCCTCCCATGGTTTTGCGCTGTTAGGCAGTACTAGGCATACCTGGGTTAGCATTTTCCAGCTTCACCAACAGCAACATCCCTGAATTAAAATGGAGCGAAGAACCCTTTTCCTCCATTAAGTAAGCCTACTATTAATTATCCAGCCTACTTTTGCTGTGGGGTTTAAAAAGTTGAATTTATAAGTACTTCAAAGTTCAAAGTGCCTTCTCTGAAGTCTGCTAAAAACAATATTCACTGTTAAAGTGTTTTGAATGGTACATGTAGGAAAACTACCTGTATGGTCACTTGCCCTGCCTGTCCAGAGTGTCCAACAGTTGGCATACAGGTGGCAAGTGATAATTCTACATCTGACATGTCTGACACTCGTAGCAGTGAAGATGCTACCACCCCTGGACTGAACACAGCAACTCCAGACACATTGCCAAGTAAGATGGTCCTTGATGGACATTTTTTGTTTTTTTAAATGCTTTGTAAATACCTGAGTCAGTTTACCCATTCGTATTAGTCCTCCCGTGGGTGGTCTTAAACCGCAGTTTAAACACCAGTCAGTGTTTAGACTGCTGTTTAAAACTGTTGCTGCACCCCTTGCGACATGCGCTCAGTCCTGTCAGTACATGCGGCGCGCCAGCTACTGCCAGCTGCTTGAGAGCCACTGATATGATCTCCATATAAAACACAATGTTGAACACATCGCGCACGTCATACACAATGACAGTAGGCTGATCTGAACATGGAGTAAAATGGTAGAACGACATTATTTAAAGTTTGTCATCTTTTTGATGGCTTTTGATCAAAAAGGGTTATGAATGATTCGGCTTGGGCAAACTCCTTCAGCTTTGCCTCAGGAAATTGGTTTGTAAACATCCAATGACTCGGAAGGGGGGGGGGGGTGTTTCATGAACTATTCACCCGCAAATCATGTTATATTTATACTACACGTATCTCCTTAAATTGTTCGCTTTTTACATGTATGTATGTTGGTATCCGTATTACATCAGATAAACTTCACACAATATTGCCCTAGATTGAATAGAGAACTATGCACCCATGTTCAGGGTTGGGTCAAGATGTTACCTCCATGTGGAAACCTACATGTATGGGTTAAAACCTTTTCAGCTCTCGGAACCCTCTAAGCCATAACTTTTTGTTGTGTTGTTAATTTACCATCAGATCCATGCTTCCAATGTGATTGTGAAATGTGGAAGAGAAGTACCTTTTGTCTAGTGGTAGTAGTCATCATCCTGATTATTTTAGTGGTGGTGTTGGTCAGCCTTTTATACAAGCAAAGAAAAGATGGCAGACCTCAGAAACGTCAAGATCCGGAAAATGCCCCTTGTAACGGCCAAGGTATTTAACTCACACAAGATTTGCCATGTGATGACAACTTCTAACAAATTAGAGTGGCTAAAAGAAAATTCAGACTTCGAAAGCGTGTGATTGGTTTTATTTTTCAAACAGTTTCATCAGCTGATTATTTGTTTGCTGCTTGCGTTTTGAAAGTACAGTTTTACATTGTCAATGTTTTGTTAACAATTACAAGATGTGTTATCCACAGATCTTGACCTCTCATACCTAACATTTGCCTAAAATGATCTGTCATGCATTCAAAAGTTAAATATCGCATGACAGACTTTCGTATCCTAAAGATGTATCGTGGCATTCTCCAACAATGTAAATTGATACAATATTTAGTCCCTAGATGTATATCTGCAGTAGGGCCCATGTGTCATATAGGGGGATGTATATCGGGGAGTCCTGTGCACACCCATCATATACATGTATGCATTTCCCATGCAGCTACACTGACCATTCCCAAGTCGCCAGACTTGACCTTAAATTGACCTTTTCTTCAAGAACCAGTGAGACATTCTTATGTGTAAATATCTGTGTCTTTTTTAACGGTACAGGTACTTTCATACCTGATATTCAGACACATTACAATGTATGCAATATTGATAAATATTGCAGACAGTCTACCCATTTTTAGTGGTCGAGAGCTCATCACGTGGGTGATTTTAACGGCCGGTAAAACACTGATAAGCGATGTTTAAAACCATTTGCGAGCACCTGCACTACACGCCAAATGCTTGCAGTACGTGCCACGCTGAGAGCCACTGATCTGATCTCCATATTGGCAATTCCATGGTAACTCATGTTACATTTAGAAGGGGTCTTCCGTCAACTCTGTACTGTTATTCTATAATGTCAAAGTATTTAGGGTGGATTTTTCTCACAGAAGATCCCTTGAAATTACTGACTAAAGTACAAAAAAAGCAAACAAAATAAAGTTTGTTGGTTTGGCCATACGTTTTATATTGGTTACTCTTGTTACACAAAATGGACATGGAAAAAATGTAAGTGCCTTGCATTTGAAAGTTTCCATCTTTTCAGTGCCCTTTCATCATTAGGGCAATGTAAGTCGTATGTTACTGTATAACAATTATTTTTAAAAAGCTATCATGAAATCTGTAGAGATGGGCAATGGACCTGTGTACTTATAAATAAATAATTATGCACGCAAGCGCATAAATGGGCCTGGCAGAAAGAGGCGAAAGCGGTACATTGAAAATGTACATGGTTCCAAATGTTTTCTCTCAATTTCTCCAGGCTTTGTCGCTTATAATTAATTGATGCGCATGCGTGCATAATTATGAATTCGTTAGTAAAAAGCAGTGTTGGAGTACTCGTACTTGACTCGAACTCGAGTACAACTCGAGTACCAATAAGTACTTGGCCCGTACTTGATCATAAGTACTCGAAAAAAACAAGAAATCGGCACGTACTCGTAATTTTGTACTCGGACTCGTCCCTTAACTCGACAAATTATCTCGGGGGTTTAGAGATCACAAGGAATATTTCGCTATCGGACAGAAGCAGCAAAGTGCAGTATGCAAGTCATGTGGGCTGCGGACTGATTTTCTCAGTCAAGCCCTGTTAATGGTCCATTTTATAAATTTCTAGCTACGTGAACCATCAATAAAACATCTTAGAGAATTAAACTTCTTTTCGTGCTACATCACTTGATATGACTATGACCATGATGCAGAGTTGTAATGACTCGAGTCAATGAATCGACTCGAGTCCGACTCGAGTCACAATTTTTGGTGACTCGACTCGACTCGAGTCCCTAAGGGTAAATGACTCGACTCGACTCGAGTCACTGCGAGCAAATGACTGGACTCGACTCGAGTCCCTTATCAGAAGACTCAACTCAACTCGAGCGAAGGCTAATACGACTCGAGTCCCAAAAATAAAAGCACAACTTTGCGAAAAAGTATTTGCAATGACTTACGGTGCAAAATTTATGCTCACTTCGCTTTGCGAATAGCGTCATGTATAAATATACAACGTGTCACGGACTCCCACCTCATGGTTCACACAAAATACTATCCAGAAACCAGATTTTTAAACACATTTTCTAATTCGCTCATTTCGCTGTTTCATCATTGGCTTTGGGCGATTTCTAAATAAAGCTCTTGGATTCGAACGCTGGCTAAACTTATGACCTCCTTTTATAAATTTTGGTATATACTGTTCAAACATTCGTGACTCGAATTGACTCGAGCTAAATATTTGACTCGACTCGACTCGACCTTTTGACCTAATGACTCGACTCGACTTGAGTCACTTCTTTTAAATGACTCGACTCGACTCGAGTCACTTCTTTAGAATGACTCGAAAATCAGTGACTCGTTACAACTCTGCCATGATGATGCATTAACATTTTGATTATGCAAGTAAAGGTAGTCTGGTCAACAGATAGCACTGAATTTTACTGAAGTACGCCTATAGTTTGTACTTTTCTGTCTGCAATTTTAATTTTGGCGAGCTGCGAAGCAGATGCGAGCCTATGTAATACCAATTTCCGTCCGTCTGTCCGGGCGCCCGTCCGTCTGTCAAGGTGCGCCCGTCTGACCGGCCGTCTGCGTTCAGATAAAAATGTTGAAGTTTTTGGTTCTAGTTAAATTGGGGAAAAGTTTATGGGGTTGGAGTAGGGATGGGGTGGGGGAGGGTGTCAGGGGTGGGGTTTGTTGGGGGATAGGGTTGGAGTTAAGGTTTGTGTGAGTAGGATGAGTAGGGGAGCTAGGATGGGTGGGGCGGGGTGGGTTGGGGTGGAGTGGGGTGGGGAGAGGGGTTGGAATACTGGGTTTGGGTGGGGTGGGGATCTGTAGGGGTGGGGTGGGAACAGGTAGGGAGAGACAGGTAGGGGGAGACAGGTAGGGAGAGGAGGGGCATGGATGTAGGGGTTGGGTTAGGAGGGGGTTGGGCAGGGGGCGGGATATAGGATCGGAGTAGGGGTTGGGTTGGGGATGTGTAGGGATGGGTTGTAGGGGTTGGATAAGGGGAGGGGGCAGTATAGAGGGATCAGAGTAGGGGTTGCATGGGGTCAGGTGGGGATGTATGGGTGGGGGAATGGGGTGGGTGGGATATTGGAATTCGAGGAAGGGTTAGGGTGGGGATGTGTAGGGTGGGTAAGGACAGATAGGGGAAGATAGGGTAGGTGGGTGTAGGGGGTTGGGGTAATGGGAGGGTATGGGTCAGGAGAGGGGGAAGGAGATAAGGATTGGAGTTTGGGTGGGGTTGGGATGTGTAGGTGATAGGGTGGGGATGGTTAGGGGAGGATGGAATGGGTGTGGGTGGAATGGGTGTGGGTAGGGGGTTGGGTGGGGGAGGGGGCGGGTTGGGGATGGGGTAAGGTTTGGGGATGGGGTAAGGTTTGGGGGAGGTGGTGATGGTGCTGTGTCTACATGTACATGTATACCCATTCTTGTTCTGCATTTGTGGCGACTACACAAGGGTTTTCCCATGGTAATACAAGTATGGGGAGCAGAATTGTTGGGGCTGCAAAAATCCACAACTGGGTCCTAATTACCCTAACAATGGAAAACTCCCCCGTAATACAGTGACGGCTAACCTATGTATTTATTAGGTAATCTGTTGACTTTTATGTTGACATTTAAAAACTGACCCCTACACCTAGGCACATCAACAAGAATCCTGATCCCCTTCCATCATGCCCATCCCCATCCCTACCTTCAGCCTCCCTTCCTGCCTTGGACAGCGAGCCATGGCGGCTTCGCCGTTCTAGTTAAGACTTTTCAAATAAATAGGTGTTTGTGCTGAACCAAGTTAAATAGGGAACACAAAATGAAAAGGTACAAGCATTGCAAAACCGACTCTTGTCCTAACCTTCAGAATGAGGAAGATTGTCAATAAATCAAGAATTCCAAGCAAAAACAACACTTGTTAATATTTGTACGTGTTAATTTCTTGGAATAATGGGTAATTACTTTACATATCACATGTAAGTAACGGTGATAATTTCCATAATGCTTTAGTTTAAAAATGTTCTCGGGATGTACTCGATATCTTTGCACTCGTACTTGGACTCTGAAAAACTCGAACTCGGATTTTTGGCCCAGGACTCAACTAAAAAGTATTCCGACTCGGCCCGTACTTGGCACTGTGTGTACTCGGAAAACTTGGTACTCGAGTTTTGGTACTCGACTACAACACTGGTAAAAAGGTCCATTCTATCGTTACAGACATTACATTCAGGGTTTAAAACCAACTTGCAGTGTTTAAAAACGTCGGTGAAGGGCAAAACCTAATTTGATTTAATCACCCGACGCAATAATTCCATCTTATAATAGTTTATGCGGTACCCGCTGCTACACGTCTGAACATCAGATTCGAACCGGCCACCCGATCCCGTTAGCTCGGTGGTCAAGTGGTAAGACATCTGCACTAGAAAGCAGATGGTGGTTCGAGTCCCACCCGAGTGATTTTTCCAACTTTCACTCGGGAGGTAACACACTGAATATACAGTGTTTAAAAACGTCGGTGAAGGGCAAAACCTAATTTGATTTATATCACCCCGACGCAAAAATTCCATCTTATAATAGTTTATGCGGTACCCGCTGCTATGTACATCAGATTCGAACCGGCCACCCGATCCCGTTAGCTCGGTGGTCGAGTGGTAAGACATCTGCACTAGAAAGCAGGAGGTCGTGGGTTCGAGTCCCACCCGAGTGATTTTTTCCAACTTTCACTCGGGAGGTAACACACTGAATATACAGTGTTTTAAAACGTCAGTGAAGGGCAAAACCTAATTGATTTATATCACCCCGACGCAAAAATTCCATCTTATAATAGTTTATGCGGTACCCGCTGCTATGTACATCAGATTCGAAACTACATTGTGCTAGATATACCTTCACTCTTCAGAAATCCCAGTGATATTTTGCAAAAAGACACTTTCATGTTATGGATACATTTTTATAAAATATCAACCTTTCTCTCTGCCTTAAAAACAAAAGCTCACACTAAAAAATTTGTTTGCATGTGAAAACAGGTTTCCAAAATTAATACCTCAAATCTATAATTTTAGCCTCAAAACCAATATTTTTACCCCCCCCCCACCAAAAAATACATTCAACCACTTTCTCACTGGCGCTCCTCTCAAACAAAAAGTCTTCTTGTCCCCGCTAATTGATACCACATTTGAGATGCTTGTAGTTGTGAAGATTTCATAAATTTTCCACATTGCAGCCATGTCCACTTTCCATGGAATTGCCCAGGGATATATTTTGGTCATTCACATTACGGTATCTCACATTACAGTATCTCACATTACAGTTTAGCCACCCATCTTTGGTACAAGAGAAAACACACACAAAAAATAGCACAAAAACTCAAATGAAAGTTCTTGTTGTTCCCTTTGATTTGATACCACATTTGAGATTGTGATGCTTGTAGTTCCGAAGATTTCATTAAATTTTTCCACTTTTCAGCGATGTCCACATTATCATGGAATTACCCATATACATTGCAGTGTTGTAGTCGAGTACTTTTTTCTGAGTACCGAGTACTGCCGAGTACTTAGGTTGCCGAGTCTCCAAGTGCGAGTGCTTGTACTTCCGAGTACGAGTACTCGCATTTCCGAATACGGCCATAAGGCAATTGGTTTATTGTGCGTAATTGGCCCAGGCCCACTCCGACCGAATACAGACCCACTCACGGCTAGCTGTTAAATGTATTTGTCCGGACTTGCACAGAGGAAAATCAGAAAATCATGATTTCTTCACAAGCCAATCAACCATGTCAAATTGAAAGTATCGATTAAATAAGGCCATGGTAAGTGAAGTTATAACATTTCCCCCCGAGTACTGCTATTCGAGTACGAGTACTTTAATGATCGAGTACAATTTTGACATGTCGAGTACGAGCACTTTGCTGCCCGAGTACGAGTACCGTCATTTCGAGTACGAGTACCGTCATTTCGAGTACGAGTACCGTCATTTCGAGTACGAGTACTTTGACATTCGAGTCCGAGTATGAGTACTCCAAAAAAGTACTTGAGTAGTACTTGAGTACGAGTACTGAGTACGAGTACTACACGTACAACACTGATACATTGTAACATGTATAGGACAAGTGTCCGCATGTATCATAGAAAAGTCCTTGGCACAGAATAAAAATAAACTAAACTTGTCGGAAGTTTGTCAAATTTCCTACTTTTCATGGTTTTATCAAAAGGTACATTGTATTTATAACTGGGGATAATAGTGTGATAAAAATAATGTTTAAACTGTTTAGGAGCCTGGTCGCCGATAATAGCCCTTGCCTTTGGTTCAGGCCATTATCAGCGGCCTGGCCCCGAACCAGTTTTAAACCACACGTTTATAACTGCTCAATCACACTATTTACCCCCTTATTGATTTATACAGGCACCCGGTATATATATCTAAATGTGTACAGCGACTTGGAGAAGGTAAAATTAATTAATTTAATTGAACTTTCTTTATTATGCTTATGTTGTAGATGGAATTCATTATAACAAATCCAACGGGAAGGTTTCTACGGAAAAGTTTTTGATAGACTCCAGTGGTAGTACCCCTGTGTTTTGTTCTGCTGTTTCTTCTCAAGAGCAACTGAATGCATCTTACAGCGGAGGCCCTTTAGTTTTCACGCACTTTTCTGTCCCACACAATGAATACAATCTTGCCAAGGAATCCATGGCTGCCCTAAACGACTGTGAAGTGGATGTCCACAACCCCCCAACCGGCACTGGCAAAGAAGCTGGTGTCACCGTTGCCACAGGGAGTGATGTTGCCACACCAAAAAAGAGCCCAGCTAGCGAGCCACCCAAAAGTTTGAAGGTGAACACCAAACCGTTGCTGAAGAGGGATTACAATGTCAGTGAAGGCACGCCAAGTACCCAGCCCTTGCTGGCCACCAGCACACAGCCTGGGGACACTGTGGCAAGTGACACGGTGACGAGCATTTCTGGTCACATTGGAAACAATGTTGAGTCCTTGCAAAACACCCCGCCAGGCAGCACTTCACTACACGAGGCACCTACTGCACCATACAGGGAAAGTCCACCAACTTCACCTTCCTGCAGTGCATTTGAGAAATCAGAAGGCCAGTGTGGTAAGTACATAGTGAAGAAGGACATAGACTTAATATTTCAGTAAGTCAAAATGACAGTGTCTTAATTGTTTATACCTGAAACTGACTGGCAACCACTCTAAGTGAAAAATGGACGCGCATCTATTGAAATGCCACCCAAAATGTGTTGTCACAAAATTACATGTAGCTCTGTTGTTTATTCTCTTTATAACGTTCTTTGTAAGTTAAACGGAAGTGATACTGCACAGCCTAAAGTGAAATTTGTTTTCAAATGTAACCAATACAGAAGGCCTGCTGGCAACATCTTGTTGGATTTATCGTTCAATAACATTTTAACAAGCTCAACAAACTGGGGGTAAATGTTTTTTTCCAAATTGAATTATTATTAAACAGGATTTCTAAAGTGCCGTTCCATCTAGATCATAGGGCTAAACAACCACCACCACTAATGATTTATGGAGGATACCAAAAATTAAATAATAAGCAAGTGTGTTTTAAGCTGCTTCTTGAATGACAAAACAGTGTCCAGTGATTTAATGCGGAAGGGTATCATTGTGAATTAGTCTTTTATAAAGCATTCCATCCCAGAGGGCATTTCAAATCAATTTTAAAGATGACATTTGAGCTTATATACCTCATGAAAGCTTTAAAGTTATGCAAGTCATTGAGGTCAAGTATACTTCAAAATGTGAGAAAGGTGTGGCAATAAAACCACATGACTAGTGCTGCAGTTAAAGGTAGAGTAAAAAAAATTATTTGTAAACATCCAAAAAGTAATAACTGACCAAATTACTGTCGAAAAGCATACTTGGTTTAAAGATAGGAATGGCACTAAACTCCCTGTGATATTATTCTTTCCAGCATGCTGTCATTTCGAAGACAACATAAAAGAAGGTCATTTTACAATCATCATCTCTTTGAGACTGCTTGCATGTTTTCTAATATTTGAACTGTAGATAGTGGTATTCAAATATATGGTGAATGATTAAATTTTTTAATATTTGGTATATTCACAGTACAATTAGTCATATGTTTGTTCCGTTTGCTCGTAGGAACAACATCCCACTGTAACGAATGGCACGCTGACTTTGTCAAGGACAATATCAATGTCACAAACCACACAGACTTCTTTGCCAAGCTTGGCTTGAGCAAAACAAAATATGAGGTAACGAAGTACGACCACAGGCATGAGGGAATACAGGAGCAGATCAGGCACGTCATCATCAATGACTTCATCGGAAAAGAGGACAACCCGTCCATCTACAGGTTGCTTTCTGCATTAGATGCAAGTGGTAACAAACATGTCTCCAGGATGTTCCGGGAAAAATTCAATGTTACCAGCAGTGCAGGTTCTTAACCTCATCACAAGGTTGGAGTGCTGTAGCTGAGTCCGTAAGTTAGGCACAAGTAACATGGATGTAGTGACAAGGGAACACTTTTTTTCACATGGACTTATGATGGACTAGCTAGCTGGTGACGATTTGTGATGGACTCGACAACACTATTATTATTATTATTATTATTATTATTAATCATTTCTGGTAATGAAACCAAGGATTCCCCAAAAGCGCCCTAGGCACTGTAGCTCGCAAGCCTGAAGAAACCTGTGGAGAGAAGACAATGAGAAGAAGTTACAGTTTTGGTGTTTTTTGTACCCTTTTCTTAAACCATTCAGCTTCCAATGAACATCTCTGTGATAGAAAATTGGTGCAGAATCGAATTGAGATGGTTTCCAGGTTACTTGGGACTTGTAAAACTGATTTGTTGTGCCTTGAGAAGTTTATTAAAGAGCCGGCGTTCAGTGCTGGAATGTGGTATCCATGCATGTCCTTTGCAGTGCAGTGTGCACAGCCATGGGGACAGCTGAGAGTGTGGTAGAGACTCCCTCCTCAAGAAATACTGTAACGAGGAACCGTTAAAACTGGCTGGCATTTTTAACTTGGCAAAAGCTGTGCAAAGCACAGGCATCGTGCAGGAACTGTTGAAGGCGCTGGTTAGTGTGGGAAAAAATTGAAGTACATGTACATCTACCAGTGCATCACTTCAGTTCAAATGCAGCACGAGTCAAGTCAAGTGCAGTGACAGTGTTATTGTACTTGTACTCGGTAGTTGTACTTGTGTACAACTGAGGGGCCGTGTCGTAAGTCCAAAGCCTCATAAGTCCGAAGTCTCATAAGTCTGAAATTTTGGAATGATGAGGTGTCGGATTTATGAAATTTCAGAATTATGAGGTGTCGGATTTATGAGGCCTCAGACTTATGAATTCCGCCTCATAGTGCCAACGCCTCATAGGTCCGACGCCTCATAAATCTGACATCAGACAAACGAGGCGCCGGACAAACATGTATGAGTTGTATTCATCCGCTTCTGTGTTGTATTCATCAACTCATTTATTCGTACAGCCACCACTGCCACATGACACAGTGCTTAATATCAATATTTTGTCCGTGGGCGGAGATTGAGCAATTTGATTCCTGCAAAAGTGTTTCATTTTGAAAGAGTAACAAAACTGCCCAGCAAAACTGTTTGGCGGCAAATCAACTTGATGTACATGCTGTTCGATATATGCAAGCTTGATAGATGCAGTACGGTACCTTGACTTAATGATACAACATTTAAAACATTTAGCAAAACCTTCGTGGCTCGCTTGAAATGCTTACATTTAGCCAAATGCTCAAACATTCAGCCACCACTGAACAAAGGCTACATGTACCTGCCTTATAAAGTACATGTGAGCCTTATTGTGTATGAGAGGCATGAAACATCAGTCTTACGATAGCTGAGCAGCATGATAAGGGTTCAAAACGTTCAAGGTTTCATTGACATGAAAATGGTTGGGAATATTTGTGAACAACACATGTACATGTAAGTACATGTACAAAATGTATGAGTGTTTTTGAGCATCTGAAGTACCGTACTTAAGTTTAGTTTCTGTGTTCGTTCAAAGCTTATCTGAATGACTTTTTCACTTGTTTATTGTGTTTATGAGGAATTTCCACTTTCTGGATTAAAAATGTTCACCCGTTGATAACACACAAGAATATTGGCATAGTAGCCTATATATGGAACAATTTTCTTGAGAATGTTGTAAAAAAATAAACTAGTCCTCTTTATGTTTGTGAGAGGAACATACCTGAGACTACATGTACAATGTAGCTAAAAATTAAGATTGTTTTTTTTTTTTCATTTTTATGTTGTTTACATCTTATCAAGTATAAAGAGTGATGTGTACATAATATGTATGTCCCATTTGTATATACTCAGAAACTGCAATTAACTAAAATAGCCTGAAATAAAAGTAGCATACATTGTAGTTACATTTGTAACTTATTTGTTTTTACATATTTTTAAATACCATTGAAATGGTCTTTAAGACACAAACTGAAATGGTGATGAGATTGACTTCATAATAATTATGCCTTGTCCTCCCCACATGCCCAAAGTGGATTTGTTTGTTAACTCACCTGCAGATATATGCCACTTTTCAGGTTTAACCTGAATTCAGGCATGTCAGGGTGGTTTTTTTTTTCAAAAAATGTGACAAATCAATAGTGCTGGATTTGGTCTGAAACATCCAGAAAACACATTTTTAAAAGAGATTAAGGGTACATGTAGTTTCAGGGTTTTTTTAGTAGTGTTTCAGGCTTTTTATTGATATACATGTATTTGTGGCATATCGGCATCTGTAAATATTCTTGAGTTGCATATTGACTTTCTTGCGTTTACTAGTTTCTTTGAAGAGCATATATGTGACATGCCGTATCTTAATGAGATTTAACCCCTAACCTTTGTCTGTTTGTCTTGTCAAGTTATACAACATGTTAAAGTGCAAATCATGAGCTTTCCAGTGATACCAAATTTGTTTTAGTATGGCTTAATTTAATCCAAAGATACATTGCAGAAACTTCCAACAGTGCCTCGTTGAACATAGGCAACCTCTTTTCAAGAATAACAGCTTTGAAAAAAAAAGTGCATTGTGCTGCCAACGGCAGTGAAAAACATTCTTCAGTTTTCCATTTCTTGGGGTGTTGTTTTCCCCAACAAAAATGCACAGTGTGAATCTGTGTTACCTTGGCTAATCAAAACCACACAATACCAAAAAAATAGATGTTAACATGATTTTTTCACGGTTATCCGACTTCAGGCGCCGATTACTCAAAACAATATTTTTGGGAGGCATTATCATTTTGCCACAGCAGGTCACATATTTGCATTTTTTTTCTGTTAAATAACGGCACATGTACAATACATGTATATATTTAACAATAATATTAAAGTTTAAAACTGTCTGACTTAATGCTGCCCAGTGAACAAGTAAAACGTATGTGTTGAACAACTCATTTACATTTGTAGAAAGTGATAAATGGTGCAAGATGTGCTGAGCACCGAGTCCAGGTTAGGTAAATGTAGTCCATTTTAAGGGCCTGATCAGGCGATCAATGGAAGATTTTCAATATTGCCAATTAGTGATGAGGTTAATCGAGGAAATGTTTTCTCCTATATGTAAAGATTATTAACAATGGTCGGTCGGTTATAGCCATTTAGCTGCTCCAATAACCTACTTGTTCCCCTCCCCCCCCCCCCCCCCAGTAAGCTTATTCATAGGCAAGGATCGGTAGACATAGTTAGTAATTGAGATGCACGTCTTATAAGTATTCTCAAATTGCGATTATCCAACATCAGTGATTCGCTACATAGTAATAATGGAATCTGTGACTAGTAGTAAACGGAATTAGTTACAGGGTCAAACCCGGTTTACCAACCTAAGTTTCTGATTGTTGATTTACTTTTACTTGTAAAAGTGCAAAACCTATTTTAAAATGAAATCGATGGCTCCCATTTCCTCCAGGCTTTCTTTGAAGTGACTGAAATTGTGACCTTGTAAAGGAAAATGTGACTTTATTGTCTGTTTTAAAAGCATCAGATGCTTGTATATTGCTGGTTTTAGACTTGGTTTCTTTGTGTACATGAAAGTATAACTCTCCCAATGATATTTTATATAAACAAAAGATCAAAACAAATGAGGTGATTAGGAAGGTTCCTAATAAAAAAAAGGGGGGCAATGTAATCCTAAGCCAAATTATAGTTAATAAGCAATATTTTAGAGAAATGGTTTGTAAAGTGTGAACAAATTGATACGTGTACATGTACTTGCTAAAAGAAAAAAATTCATATTTATCTACATTCCTGGCCAAATCTCGCTGGGCCCCATCCTCCCGGCCCCCGTTCAATGTTGTCTCTTATTGTGCGGTGTGTTCTCCATCAGCTGGAGAGAACAACATTGACCGGGGGACCGGGGGAGTGGGTGACCGTGGGAGGCTCAGGAAGTGTCCCAACTATTTTGGCTGGGATTGTGGCTTGAAATTTATTTGAAATGTATTTTTGGGGTATGTAATTGTGTGTTTTATGTGCATTTGTCTCAACTATTTCTGTGTATTGGGTGTGGTGATTTGAAGGATTTGGGGCATTAACTTCTTTCAATGAAAGCGGAAGAACATTCCATGTTTTTTTTATAGGGAAATTGTGAAAAAGAAATTTGATGGGGAAAAAATCATAACAGGCACAACATAAAAGCAATAGCAAACTAGCTTAAATTTTAGATTCTGCACTTAATTGGTGCTCCACTGAACTTGCTGAAGTCTGCAGCAATTTCTCATTTTTTTTTTCAACATAGTGCCTTCAATGGTTTTTTCCAGCATTTCGAAAGCAAGTGTACAGTTCTGGTTAAGGGACACACCTTTGCCAGAAGTATATTATTTTTGAGACACACAAATTATGTAAAGTGAAATTATTTTTTCAATTTTGTACATAGTGATGACCAAGATGATTGTTGGTCTTTTGATGCATATGTAATTAACAAAAATCAAATGTACTAAATACTCATGACAAATGTAAATATTTTGGACTCCTAAAAATTCTTTCGTTGTATTTTGGAATATTTGTACATTTTGATATGGAAAGTAAGAAACTTGTATTTTTAATTAATGAGGCTCGATGGTGGGCAGGGGCAATGTAGGAAATTAATTCCCCTCCCCCCCCCCCCCCCCCGAATTTTGAACCTCGTTAATAGCACCAAGTTTTCTTTCTTTTTATTGTCAACCCCCCCCCCTCCCCACAATTCCAATTTGTCTTGTGATTACCCCCCCCCCCCCAAAAAAAACCCCAAACAAACAAACAAACAAACAAAAACAAAAGAAGAGAAAAAAAAAAACACCAATATACATTCCTTGGTTGCCTGGTGTGTGCATATAAATTGGAAAAAAAATCATATCCTATCAATTTGGAAAACGTATCTGTTAAGATTTTTTTTTTTAGAAGTTTAACACTTGATAATTCATTAACATTTTCTTGAAATGTTTTACTGATTTTACATAATTATGTAAATACTCATCAAACGTGTGTGTAAAAGCAAGGCCCAATTTCATGGTGCTGCTGAAATTGCGCACTTGCTAGCAGTAAGTGCAGAAGGCTTATTAGTTATGGGATGTCATGCTTTGCATATGCCAAAATTCCTTGCTATAACCTGTGAAATACGCTAAGTGTAAGCACAGAATTTTCTACTACAGTTTAAGCAGGTTTTTTTGTTAACGATAAGCAGAGCCATGATACTTGGGCCCTGTTCAAAACAGGAAAATTATGTCATGATTCTGTCTTAAGCCAAATTATGTATGTGCCAAAAATGCGAATGGAACTGGTATGCTTTGCCTCGTCTGTTTTGTACAGTACTTTAATGCAGCAAAGTTGAATTTGTGGCCCACAATGTATCATCATTGTAAATTTAAACTTGCCAAGCATACAAAATATTGGATTCGCCAAACTGTTTTTCCATACTGTTTTGCAAAGCGAAGTGAGCATAAATTTTGTACCGTAATTAAGTCATTGCAAATACTTTTCGCAAAGTTGTGCTTTTATTTTTGGGACTCGAGTCTTACTAGCCTTCGCTCGAGTTGAGTCGAGTCTTCTGATAAGGGAGTCGAGTCGAGTCGAGTCATTTGCTCGCAGTGACTTGAGTCGTGTCATTTACCCTTAGGGACTCGAGTCGAGTCGAGTCACCAAAAATTGTGACTCGAGTTGAGTCCGACTCGAGCCAAGTCATTGACTCGAGTCATTACAACTCTGAATGGGGCCCTTTAGTCCAAATACATGTAGGCGGCCACAAACATGAATTATGCAAAACATGTACTTCAATGAGTTTAAATTGTGAGTTGAATAATAAATTTTTCATTTTGGGACAGGTCAATTTGGTATGCTTTTCAATTTTGTATTGGATCTAGTTGTTCCTGCCCCTCCCATATAGTCCACCAGCCTAGTCTGATCATTGCTCTATGGTCTGATCTATAATTATAAGTTCGAGAAATGCATTTGTTCCGTGGTGTCCAAACTTTAAGGGTATCCACTATTTATTTAATATTCATGCTGCAAGGCGCTATAGCTACATCACTGGGCCAATGATTGAAATATTCCAAGTCAATCACAAAACCCCAGGAGTATGTGATGATGCAAAGCAGCTAAAATCAATCACAATTTTGCTTGTCTCAGTCTGGTTTAAACTTTTGTAGTTTGAAGCACTTTTTTCCCCTGCTAAATGGAAACCTGGTGAACATAGAGGTCGCCCTTCATCATCCACACTAGTATCGCAACAACCAGCTGGTACGTCTGTGCGCGAACTGTACTGCGAAAACTGTACGTAGATCGTGATCAGTCGATCCAGGGTGACTCGGCGGAAAATGGTCACACCTAGTGCATGTACCGATAGGCACCGGTGCACTTGCTGAACGATTACAGGGGGTCGTTGTCGTTGAGAAGCGCACAAAGTCATCTTCACCGCACTTTGCAAAGATAAAGAGAGGTGACCATCTGTGTTTAGTAACCCACTGTTGACGTTGCCACAACATCCACACAACGCAGTCATCAGCAGCAGCAACAACATGGCAGAGTAAGATTAAGAATTTCTTTTGGGGTAGCCTAGTTCAACGTGAAGTTCGGGGGTAACGTTTTTGCTGGACTCATAAATTTTGGGTTTGGTTTTCAAGGAAGTCGTAATGCATCTGGTTTGCCATTAAGCTAGCGTGTGCCTTTATTTCCGGGTTTGTTTATGATAGACGAAACCATGTTCTGTAGGCCTGCATGCGTGATGATGATGTAGTACTGGGGACAAGTTTTGCGTTTTCCTTCCATGGTTTTGCGCTGTTAAGTGTTATTGTTAATGTTATACTTGGCATACCTGGGTTAGCATATTTTTCCAGCTTCACCAACACAACAGAAACAACCCTGAATTAAAATGGGGGGAAGAATCCTTTTCCTCCATGTTAATTACAGAAAAATAGGCGATCGTGAAGTGTAGGGCCCCTGTTTTATTTTGACAGTTTGATCAAATTAGAGTCAAAAATGTTTTTAAATTTTATTGCTCAAAAATCACCTTCACAATCAAAAGCAGACTTTTTTTAAATCTAATGACACCCGTTTTGCAATTTTGAACAGATTCTTGGGGTAGAAATCATGATTTTCCTGCGGTTGGTGCCGTGCGTGCTCTACTCCTAGAACTATGAGGCTCCACTACGTGGAGCCTCATAGTTCTAGGAGTATGCGTGCTCAAGGTACATCGCGCGGTGATCGCCATCTTTATTTTCGGGTCGCCGTGCTGTCATCGTCATTTTACCCTCAAATGTCCCTCAAAAGATCAAAATACTGCCCAATATCTATGACATACCTGTTTGTTGAGAATGTCGCCAACTGGTTTGGTAGGTCCAATAATTTTAAAGTGGATTTTGTCCCCTTATAGGAACCGGGCCCTACACTTCACAATTGCCGAAAAATAACAGTTATTAGGCCTACATAGCCTAGGACGCTAACTAAAGGATAAAAAACAAGTACATTTTGTGAACATTTTGTGCACAGTTACATTTATAACACATAGGCCATATGAAATTGAAAGAGACAATAGTTTCAGTCGTTTTAAGTTAATACACAAATAATGGGGAGATAAACTGTAATGTGAGTAACAATCTCACTGGCACATCACTCAAACGAAAGGTGTTTTTTTTCCCCTTTAATTAAACTAATTGTGATGCTTGTAGAACTTTGTGAAGATTCTTTTCAGCCGTGTCCATTTTGCCTTGAATTACATGTACATGAACCCATACCATGCATACTATCATGACTATAGTAGGCCTATAGGGAAATTTGAGTTGATAGAGTGGTGAACGTGTATATGTACCGGTATAGCATGTATAGAGGGTGAACGTGTATAGTGCTCCTGGAGCACGCTACATACACAATACGTACATGTACCAGCAAATCCTTTAAGCACAAATGCAAGCACTTACATGTAGCAAAGCATCCGCCTTCTGTTATCCCCAGATCTAGTCCGAAAATTTGGGACTCTAAATACTGTGTATGAGAGTCCCAAAACTTAAGGCATCCATATTGTGCAAAAGTTTGTGCTGCATAATAAAACCAGTGTGAATCAAATGTGCAAGCTTCTTACTCACTACAGTTTCTTCAATAATCCCCGAAACTTCTGCCCTGCAAAGTTGCTGTTGTGAGCATTGCATCACCAAAAATTCAGCGTTTAATTCTAATTTTGCAGGGAGTTATCGAAATCCAAACGCGAAACATCACGTTGATGTGTACTGCAATGCATTGTGCAAAAAGACTCCTCAGCTAAAACATTTTCATCGTGTAGATAAAACAGCGCCCTCTTGTTGATCTGAGTGAATGCAGAATGTTTCATTTTTTAACAGAGGGCGCTATGTTCATTTGGCCATCGATTAAAAAACAAGTAAGCTGCAAGGCTCTTCCTACACCTACCCAGAATACCTTGGGAAACACACCACCATTTCTAAAGCATGGAGAATAACGTGGATGGTTTTTGAACTGTCAAAAACTTGCCTTAAAATTGGAGTTAAGGTCTCAAATTTTGCAGGTGACATGCTTGCAACTTAAGCATTTTGATGTATGTGTTGTGTGGGCATTAATTAGCTGAATGGTGAGTAAAAAAACGTCAGTAGTAATTTTGCACATTTTTATGCACTCACGGTCCCAGTCTGCCCCAGATCATGCCAGTGCACACAGATGTGTGAAAAAAATTGTTTTCGTAGGGCTACATTTGTGTTAAGGCCTACCGTACATGTATCATTACTAATTATTAGGCCCCCCAAAAAAAGTCTCCGGTTTCTGGTATGGAGTTTGCCCCAAAAGTGATGCAGCGACAGTCACAGGTTTTTTTTTTTTCCCCCTACTTCTTTTTTCCCTACTTTTTTTTCTTCTTCAAATGTTGGCTGATGTTGCAAATGACGCTTCGATCCCCTTAAAACTGTCAAAAAAATTCCTTCAGAGTGGAGCTTGAGGTGACCTCAGTGAAGCCATAAGGCTTGAGAATTCTGCACCCATCTCAACTGATGGGAAATTTGGATAGTCAAGACAAAAATCAGAGAACACGGTACATGTAGTAACGTTAGACCAGGCATGAGCTGCCAGGCTGGTCAATTAGTCTGCTCATGTACATATCGCACTTTAATTGAAAAGCGTTTTCAGGTTCCAGATACACGACCATCGCTCCCTCAGTCTGGCTTCCAGACGCAAATTATATTATGGAAGCCCAGAAAGGACAAATAAAGCTAAATACTCAATCGTAATCCCATCTTAAAATATGATAAAATTATGCAGCAACAGAATTCCAGTCAAACTAGTATTTGGCAGTTTTGAGACACCGTCTTGTATCAAAAAAACCTTCTTAATTTTTCCGATGCGCATGGCTACAGCGACGCCTGCCCAGACCAGAAACGGGAGACTTTTTTTGTTGGTCTACCGGTACATTGCTGAATGTGAAAGTTAAAGTCCTTACTAGAACCATGCGCAAGTGGGTGTTTACATAAATGTGGAGGCTAGTGGTATAATGCACATGTTCTTTCCTTTCAAGGGCCATTTCCATGTTAAAATAACCAACTTGCTAATATTTGTGTTTTTACTTTATTGCCCATATCACTATGTACCCACTGAAATAAAAAAAAATTAAATCACCGCAATGCATTTGTATAATTTTGATCAAAAATTAGCCAGACTTATGACATTTTTAGGTAAAATTGCGTGACATTTTGACAGCTTGTCCAATGGTGCACAGTATTCATTCTTTCAATTGATAAATTTGGTCCTTTTTAATTCTAAATGATTGATGATAACCCAAAACTTAATATTAAACACAAAGTTCGTGCATCGGCAACTTTGTATCATTTTGACATGCCCGCTAAAAATACCATCACTCTGTAACATTTGGTGTCAGCAAATCCTGTTACAGAGTGAACTTTACCATTGATTATAATATTTGTAGAAACTGTCAACTATTCTAAATTTTAAGTGATTATTGAAGTCTGTTATTAAATAAAGAGACTAAAGAAGACCAAAAGTGAAATTCAAAGAAGTACAAGAAATATACCAATTTTAAATATTGGCAGATCAATTTGGTGTCATCAAAAAACGTTACAGTGTGATACTTTGCAGCTGCACTCTGAATTTGTCAAACTGTATTTGTCAACAAGTTTAACTAAAAATATATATCCTGGATGTTGGCTTGGAATATAGATGTCATTACATTTTGAATCCTTCTCTTAGAACTTGAAATAAGAGGCAATAAAGGTTTGGTGTCAACACTGACTCCGTTACAGGTGAAATACCTCTTTTCAGCTGAAACAATGAAGCAAAAGCACCTGTTTGATTGATGATTGAGTTTTTAGCTAAAATAATGACTAAGTTTTTTAATACAATGAAAACTTTGGCATAGGACAGGTTAAAGTAGAACTACAGTGAAGAAAAGTGATAAAAGTGTTTTGGGTGTCAGTGTCAGCATTACAGGTGAAATGATTATTATAACAAACTAAACTTCCAGTCTCAGAAACAAGTATCTGATGTAGAAACCATCAAGCTTATCACTAAATAGAAAGGTTTAAATGGTTTGATACCATTTAGGACTATTATTATTAGTTAGTTGTAGGATTGTCACTCTGTAACAGTGACTATTTGGTGTCAGAGTTACAGGTGAAATGTTGGTTAACACCAGGCTTTACTTACAATAACATGCTTTCTAGTGGTGTTTGTAAATCTTCATTGCTCTTCATAGTTGCAGTTTTGGCTGTCAAACTTGCTTTTAGAGAACAAGTGAGTGTTTGTCTTAAAATAATATAATTTTATGTCAAGTGAGAGCTACATTTTTGTAATCATCATAATATGTCAAATTTCCTAAAACTTGATATTTGATTTTCAACAAATGTTGAACAAGGATAGTGTTAAAAAAAATTTCTAACTTATATGTGTTGCAAATAATTGCTTAAAAAGCAACATGCCTTTACCATACCTGAACTTGTAATAACCTGGTGAGAGCTCTAAAAGAAATTAACAATTTGGTGTCACTGTTACAGGTGAAATTTGTGTCCCATATGCTAGTTTATCATGTTGCTACTCTAAAAAGGGTCATGTTACAGAAAAATGGTTTTGTTTTTGACAAAATATAGACCCTAGACTGCAAAACCATGTGAAGCTGAATTTAATTTGGTTATTTTGAAAATTTGACCCTAATGTCACACACTGGCCTCCACATTTATGTAAACACCCAAGTACCAATCTTTTTTAATACATCTAGGGCATGTGTGTGTATCATACCCATGTACATGTATGCACATATCTGAAGTTAGCTTTTAACCATGTTAAACTGTACATAGAATATACCGGAACATGTGCAGCAACAAAAATTCTGTCATTTGAACTACATACATGTACAAACCATGTATGTAAGTTGATACCAATTTTGTATAATTACAAAACTATTACAAGTGGTACTTAAGGTTTGAAACTGAAACTGTCTCAATAGGTTATTTCTTGTCTGCTTTACTTTTAAATCAAGTGTCTGTCTTACTGGCAAAATATGAAAGAAACATTGCATTT